ACAACAGGTGGTTCCAGTAGGAGTCAAGAGTACTCCCTACCTGGGCAGGTGAAGAGGAGGAGCTGGCCCTGAATCCTGAATTGTGGCTGTCAGTAAGGTGGCTGCAGGCCACCCCTAGGCTAAGCTCCCCCCACCCTGCCCTCCTCGGCCGGACCTCCTGGGAGCAGGTGTATAGCAGTGGAGTCCTCCTCCCAATGCCTGGGAAGCAGTTAGGACCTCGTTGTCCCCGAGGATGTGGTGACGGGGTCCCTCTCTTCAGACATCAGGCACATGATCGGTTAGACACTTAGAGTGGTGGCCCAGGGACCTTTGTATAACTTTGTTTCAAAGAGATTTGAAAATTCCTGTTTTCTATTGTACACAGAAATTGACAGAGGAACTTTCTCAAAGTACTGTCTCCCTAAATAGGGAATTGCCTATAGCTGATTCTGAGTCTTATAGATCTAGATTCCGAATCAAGCACTGTTTTCATCTCTGGGAAGCAGAAATTTAAAACTTAATATTTTATAAAATGTCTAGGCTTTCCTCAAATTCTGAGCTTCCTGAAACCCTTACCTTCATGGTAGAGTATCAGAATGCCTTTTTAAAAAAAAGAAGAACATTTTAATTTTAAACTAGTTAGTGCCATTTAATGACTTGAATTCTAAAAATGTCAGCATTTTAATATTACGTTAACAGTACTGTTAACTTGAGCTTTAATGCCACAGGCATTTCACTGTCTGTGTTCAGCATTGACTTACATCACCCTCAATTAAAGTTCTTTGTTTTTATTGGTCTAATTTCAGGTGAACACATGGCACCTCCCGCTTGTGCAGACCTGCGTTGAATGGCTGGAAGGCTACCGTGTCCAGGTCCTTCCTAGCAACCCTCTATCGTTAGTAAACCACGTAATAGTCTTTTGAATGTGCCTTTGTCTTTGATTCAGCAGCTCAGAAATATTAGTGACTTTTATCCTGGTGGGATGACATTCAGTCTTTTAGCAATAGAAATTTAAAGGATTTTAATTTTATTTGTAGAAGATGTAGTGCACATTTTGAGTAGAATGTCTAAAAAACTAATTGGGCATTTCTGTTGGTCCTGTTCTCCTTACATTTAAAGAGACAGCTGATGGACACCAAATAGTAGTGCCTTAAATTATTTGCAGGGAGTTGTAATCTGTTCAGAGAACAGATGGCTATTTTTGCTCCTTCCAAATGATATGCTAATCATGCAGATTTGAATTCGTCGTCGTCGCTCTGTACCCATTCATAATGCTCCTTGGGTGTCTGCTCTTAGAGCCATGTTGCGTGCCGTGCGCGCAGGGAGACCCTGCACCACGCCAGCGTAGATGCGATTTGAAGTTAGGAGGCAGAGGCCAGTCCTTAGAATCGTGTTGTATACAGAAGGGCTGCGATATCCTGTTTTGTTTTCCCTGTGATTTTGTCTTTTTCTCTCAACTTTTGTATGAAAATAGGAAGTTTAGGTTGGGGACAAAAATCCAGAAATAATTAACTCCCTGTGGCTTTAGGTATTTTCTATTGGGAAAGCATTCTTCTTCTAATGTGTCACTTTTATTAACTGAACCAAACTCCCTTACAGTGCTAACTTGGCTCCTAAAGAACGAGTTGTTTATTTGAGGGCTTGTATGAACTAGAATTGGAGATAAACGTACATATATTGGGATGGAGGAAGGGGTAAATAAGTTAACAAAAAGCTGAGAGGCTAAAGAAGCTTTTTGAGCCCTAATGCAGAAAAATGGAGGAGGTTGTAGGGGATAATTCAGAAAGCCTTAAATTTGAGTTTATAAAATGTTCAGAGAATTCTAGGCCTTCTAACTGAACTTAGATTTTATCCCCAAAATAAGTCAATTTTATCCAAAAGTTTCTCTTCTTCTTGTAAATATTCTGTTTTTCTGTTTCACTTGCTTAATGAGATCATGGGTGAGTATTTGTTAATTAAGGAGGGTTTGGTTTGTTAGCATTTTAAATGTCACCCATTTGGCTGATATTTAAAACTCAAACCGAGTTTGAGCTTTCTGTTCTCTTGCCCTACCCAAGTTTTAAACTTCTGGGCCAAGCGTTATTCTGAAAACTGAGGATTTCAATGATTTCAAAACCAGGAAACTAACAAAAGTAATTGCAATATAGGTTGTATAAATTAGTACCAAAGTTCTTGCTCATTTTGATGAATAGACAGACAGTAGGAACCCAGTCAACAGGGAAGTATCTCTTCATCTCTGTTTCCGGAAGAAACATGTTATCTCGTTAAGAAGATAACTTCGCCCCAACAGATGGTGCAAGGCAGATGTGTTGGAACCAGTGATTGAAGGAAGAGGATTCCTTCTACCCAGGGCCAGGGAGGGGGGCGGGGTGGCGGCAGGGACAGTGGGGGGCTCAGAATGCAGCACAGAGCAACCGGCAATCTGAGCTGGGCCTAAAGAGGCAAGCCAGCCCATCAGTTTAGATCTCTACCTGGAACTGTGTGAGCTCCGCTTCTATGATGTAACATCAGGCCTCCTTCATAAAGTGGAGGTATAATCCAGTCTGAGAGATTTGCAGCCAGTGTTAGAACCTTTCCCTGCCTCACAGCTTACAACAGTTCTTTTGGAAAGCTTATCCCCATCCTTATCCAAGATTGAAATCCTCTGTGGTCCTTGAGACCAGGCAGGCCCGGGTTCAGACCGCTGCTGACACTCGCTGCCCCGGGCGGTCCGCTCAGCCCCTCTGAGCCTCTTTGTCCGTCTGCAAAGTGGGTGATCGTGCCTATGGTGCGTGGTGAGTAAGATGAGGATCCAGAGGTTCCTAGCAGGCCACTTCTCATTGTGCTTGTTTAAAGGTAAAGTTATTTCTCATACTTAGGATATTTTCATATATCCCCCCTGAGACCTAACTAAGTCGTGTTCCATCAGGTTTTAGCTTTTCAGGAGTCCCGAATCTGTAGGTGTTACCTGAAAACTTGTAAATGTTGAGAGCAATTCCAGATTCTGCAGCCTGCAGCTTCCCGGCATTTGAACATTGAGCTATTGTACAGGTGCAGATATCACATTTCTGGTTCATGTATGTAAATCAAGCCATCTTACTCATTTTTTTGAACTAAAAAAATTCGTAATAGAGAAGCAAGAGTAGGGACTTGAACTCATCAATAAGACAGCTGTCTCGACCCGTTCAGGCTGCTGTAACAGACACCACAGCCTGGGTGGTTTAAGCAACAGACATTTATTTCTCACAGTTCTGGAGGTCAGACAGTCCAAGGTCAAAAATGCGAATAGTTTTGGTTCTGGGTGAGGGCCCTCTTCCCAGCTTGTGGTCGGCCACCTTCTCGTTTTTATCCTCGCATGGGGGAGAGAACCCGTCTTCCTCATCAATTCTTAGAAGGTCACAAGTCCCATCACAAAGGCCCCACTCTCCTGACCTAGGTACACCCCCACCCCAACAAGGCCTCACTTCCAAATGCAATCACATCAGGTTGAAGGGCTTCAACATATGGTTGGGGGTGCACGACACTCGTTCAGTCCATAACAGCAACTAATAAAAGTTAATTTAAAGTTTATTTTTTTATTGTCATTTAAGCCTGTCAAGCTGTTTCCCTATGACTACTAACATTTTTTCCCTTTTGTATTTTTTAGCTGAAGGGCCAAACAGTCTCTTGAATGGGACCATTTCTCTGATAGGGATGTCTGACCCAGGCACCTTGCAAGGCTGGGGCAGCAGGTCCCTGTGAATTAGGCACAGGCCAGAGCCCCCCCACCCCCCAAGGGGAGCAGACCAGCCCCACCCCCGCCCCAGGCCTGCTGCTGGGCTTCCCGACTTTGGTTTGTTTTTAAGGCTGGGATCTGGATTTACATGCGGAATGTCAGGAGGATAAGGCCAATAATGGGTGCATTGTTGCATGCCTCTTTTATGATAAGCCCGACAGAACTCTGGAGAGCCGGCTGCCTCAAGGCACAAGTCTGGGACCTTGTGCAAAGGGCGCTCTCACGTGTTCCCCTGAACCATCCAGCTCCAATCTTTTCACTTACTTATGAACGACGTGTGTCTAGTTTTAACCAGAAAGAGTGGTTCACAACCTTCACAATTAATACCAGCTCTCATGACTTACAGCACACAATTTCGGGGAAAACGAAAGCAGGTTCTATTTATACTCAGCCCAGAAAAGTCTAACTTTGGTATTTCACTCTTGATTTTTATCAGAATTCCACCAGGTATTGTTACAAATGCACTAATGCCCTTTGTAAATTCTGTGTCACTTCAGAGTGGGGAAGTGGCCTTAATTTACTCTGGAAAAACCAAAACAAAATTGCCAAGTGTCTTCCCTCACAGTCCAGTGGCAAAGACTCCACGCTCCCAAAGCAGGGGGCCAGGGCTCAATCCCTGGTCAGGGAACTAGATCCTATGTGCCCCAACTAAACGTTTGCATGCTGCAACTAAAGATCCCGCCTGCCACAGCTAAGACCCAGTGCAGCCAAATAAATAACAAAAAATAAAAGTAATGAAGAAATGTCTATTTTTTAAAAAAGAAATTGCCAAAACTCTTACGCTAACACTTCCATGTCGATGTGTTTGATTATGATTTAACTGTCCACTAGCAAGGCTTATAGTGGGATGATTAAGTAACCTACCAGTGAAGAAGTGTCATCTACCTTGATGAGTATGCCCAGGTAACCCCTTTCATAAATTTATAGTAAGTCCACTGAGGAAATACATTGTAAAGTGCAACTGCTTCTTGGAGCCACGATTTACAAAATCTTATTTTCAAAACTTCTCTCTCGAAGTAGTTTGTCAGAGTGGGCGTGTTGACCTTTCTATGAGGGACTACGTAAAACAGGAGAAGACGGACTCGAGTGCAAGCTTGGGTCCTCCTCCCAGACCACTGTTGGCCGCTCTCTCTTTCACGTCATACAAGAGCCGGCCCCCTTGACCCTTCCCAACCTCCCTGCTTCTCTCTCTCTCCTGAAGGTTGCATGCATCTAGCACAAATCTGGATGGAGGAACGTTCATTTTGCTCTCCTTTATTCTCAATAGGTGGAGTACATGTTGGTGTCTTTCGATCATGAAAAGAAAAAAGCCCAATTGGTCCTGTCTGGAGAGGAACTTCTTGAAACTCTGCAAGAAAAAGGGGAAAGGACGAACCCAAAGTAAGCTGATGGACGGGGGGCTTGTTTTCGAGTTTCTGAAATTGTTAGGACCACTGGAGTGACATCTTTCCTCCACGTACAGGAGACGGGATCCCAGCAGTTTAGGGCTCAGGCTCTGGTTCTCAGTTGCCTGGGTTCAAATCCTGCTCCTTCTACTTAATAGCTGAGTACCTTAGGTGAAGGGCTTAGCTTCTCTGTGCCTCAGTTTCCTCTTCTGTAAATCAGGGGTGCCTCTTAGGGTGCTGACACTCTAAATACATTAGTGAGCGCTTGGAAGAGTAAATGCCACATAAAGTCAGTTTACTATTTAAATATTTAAAAAAAAAAAAATTGGTGACATATTCCCAAGATCACAAACTACGGTGCCAGAGAAAACTTGCAGATGGATTTTGTTTGGCTGGAAAGATGTTTTTTTTTAAATATTTCTTTATTTCAGTAGACAGAGGTGAAGGGGGCATGTTCATTTCTCTGCCCACTAAATTTTGGGAGGCTGGGTTTGCATTTGGAGCCCAGCGTTAAACTGAAGGAGCCTTCAGCCCTCACACCCTTCCCTGCAGAGTGGACGGGCTTGTTTGTCTTGGACAGCGCATGCCCTGCGTGCAGCTCAGTTATTTATAAATATTTTGGACCCAGCACTTGTAGCCCTTAAACAGTTAAAGAGCTACGGAAGGTTCACAGGCTCTGGGAGCCATAAAGCATTCTTGGCTTCTTGTATACCCAGTGGTTTCTAAATTTTTGGAAGCCGCTTTTTCAAAACTCAAAAGGGAGCAGACTGCCGCAGAAGAATAAGAGGGACCCGGAACCTTGTCTCATCCACAGCCATCCGACCCTTTGGAGACCAGAATATGGGAGCTACATGATCGAGGGGACACCGGGGCAGCCGTATGGCGGGACCATGTCTGAGTTCAACACGGTTGAGGACAACATGAGGAAACGGCGCAAAGAGGCCACATCCCTCCTGCGGGAAAACCAGGCCCTCTGCACGATCACGTCCTTTCCCAGGTTAGTGCCTGCATCAACACGCACAGCCGGCGTCCGGAGAGCAGACCACAACCTAGCGCTTGACCCACAGCTCTCACAATGTGGGCCGTATATCCGCGTCTCGCTGCATCTGATAGCATCTAACGTCAGAGCCGCAGGCCGGGTCCCATGCTAGCCTCCGGTGGGGGGGTGGCGGGGCAGGGGGACTGCGGGAGGACCCGAGGGCCACACACTCCCCAGGCCAACGGGAGGGAGCACTGTATAAGGAAGGACGTGCATTGCCCCCCAGATCAGATCGGGGGTCAGCCTCAGTGCTCCTGAGATGGGCGATACACATGAAAAACACGGGAGCCAGCGGGTCGTGTTCGGATCACGCTGAAACAAGTTAGGATTTCTAAAAGTTCACAAGAGTGAATATAAAGTCAGTGGGATTCAGTCCTTGGTTTAGAATGAGGTACATAAATGTCACACGGTTTTGTGTAGGACCTGTATGCAAGAATGCAGTTCTACCAAATCATAAATCTGGTTATCTCTGCGAGAGATCTCTCAGGTTGTGGCAAAGTATGCTTACCTCCCCAAAGTTCAGAAGCGCTGTGAGGATTGGTATCCAAAGCCTGAAACACGCGAAACTATTTTTATACCTTTTTTTCTTTTCCTGATAAATGTCCACTGTGAACACAGGCATTCAGAGTCACACCACGGGTCTTAGGACACTTAAAGGGAATTTTCTTTTTTAAAATCTCCATGATCACATCAAAACAATCGAGGCCTTATTGAAGCAGCTCATCAAATATTTTAGAGAATATCTTTTTCTGACATTATGAAAGGAGAAAAGTTGAGCAAGGGATACGTTTTATTCTAAAACTCTAATTTTTTTTTTTAAGTTTATCTTTTATGATGGGAGGGTATTTTTGGATTTGTAAGCAAAACAAGAGTAATAATTATTGGTTTGTAAAAGCCTCACCTTAAATCCACAGTTAAATGATGAAGAAGATTTTGTTTGGGGATCAAGAGAGAAGACTGGGGTTTTTTCAGCGTAAACAGGGGGATTCTCTGTTCATAAACGGGTGCAACTGTAGTGTGGCCCTGTGACCCAGTGGTCATATGACTGTTTACACGTCAGTTACTCAGACTGACGCGACCAGAAGTCCAGGTCCTTTGCCTGCTGGTGCTCGCCCGGCAGGGCAGGTGGAGGGCGTCCCCACCCCCGGAGGCGCATCGGATGGTGGGATGGTCGTCTAGAGGGAAGCCCTGCTGGGCGTGCAGGTCTGAGCCCTGGCCACCCACTTCCCACCCAGCACCCTGGCACTCACCTCCCTGCTCTGGCCCGATCCTGGTCAGCAGAGAATCCCCAGGTCTCAGTCTGTCACTCTCTGTGAGGGCTTCTCCTAAGGCTTCAGGCTTGTGGTGGATAACGCAGGCTCCTGCAGGAACCCTCCCAAGACCCCATCACATCTGGGGCTGTTCCAGATATGATGGGCAGCTTCACTGTTCTTCACAAGGTAGTTGTGGGCAACCGGTTGTTATTAAAGATGAGGCTGAAAATAAAGAAGGCACCAGCTAGGTTTGGCGCTTGGGCCAGAAGTTCTCCACCCTGGCCCTGCGCACCCCCAGTGGCTGCTATTGCTGTGCTGGCCCTGCTCCGTGGGTCCCCATTTCCCCCCCCCCCCCCCCACCCCGGCACACTCAGCAATGACCTTAAACTTGGGAGAGCTGGTGGCGTCGCTGCCCATAATGTGGAATTTGAGCTTTACATTTAGGGGAGAACGTGGACCTTTGTTTCTGTGTTGGAATTAAAGCACTTCTTTAGGTCAAGTGAGATAATAGGGTTGGATTTCAGCCTTCAGGGGGAAACCTGGGGGCAAACGGGGTCACCCGTGGGGGACCTGCCTGATCCGGGGGGGTTCGGGAGGTGCTGGGCAGAGTTAGGAGACAGGAGGCCCTTCCCAGGGCACCCACGCTGCCCGGAAGTGAGGGTGTGCAGGGCTGACATAGGTACAGGCGCATGCCTCAAGACAGAAGCTCCCGGGGGAAATAGCTGAGGCCCTGTGACTTGTGCCCTGCATACCCTGGGTGGACAGAGGCTTCTGATAAAATCAGCCCCAGGCTGCAATCACAAGAGAAGAGCTTGGTGAGCAAGACAGGTTTCAACGGGCTGGTTGCAAGGGGCCCAGGGTTGGTAGAACAACGGACCCCCCTGAAAAAGGCAACATTGCACTTGCGAGTTGTTAATCCTTGGAGGCACATTCTATCTCTTTAGTTCTTCAATTTGTTGTAGATTAGGCTGCCCTGGGTTCACGCTGCCTGAGTTCAAACCCAGCCCGGTGGAAGGAGGCGCTTCCAAGTCCCTCTTCTTCCCCGATGAAGCGATCAACAAGCACCCGCGCTTCAGGTGAGTGCCCGAGGCTCAGCGCCGGCCCTGCCCTGGGGTGCGGGGCTCCCCCCCACCCCGGACCCTCCCACGCGCTTCCCGAGCTCCACAGAAGCCAGCAGACACACCGGTTCACACCCACCCTCCGTCCCCCGCAGCTGCACTGCCCCTGCCGCTTGTTTCCAGGCTGGATCTGCCCGTTTTCCGAGTCATCCTAAAGTTGTTCACTTAGCTGCAAATTCATTTCAATCCCAGGTCTGTTAACACCTGTTTGGAGAAGCTCTCTTGTCGTTATTTTTATCTTTTACCTCCAGTGTCTGTGATCTCCTCACCCTGCTCGTGTCCCTTGACTATAAGGTAAAATGCGTCCAACGCCTGTGTGTGTAATAGGCACGCGCTACCTTCTGCTCTGTAGCTCTAACCCCAGGGTTTCAGGTTGCTTTAGGCCCACACCGGTCTGGTCTCAGCTTTGTCCCTTTGAGTCTCACCTTTGTCCTGAACCCGGGCTCCTGACCTAGAGTTAGGGACCTGTGGCAGCTCAGGGTTCATTCCTGTAACACATTTGCACACGTGCTACGCGCGGAGTCTTTGGGGAAGAGGAGGACACAGGAGCTTAGTTCCCAGTGTTAGGGCCAGAGTGTGCCAGGGAGAGCATGGAGATGGTCAGCTGCAAGAAAAGGAAGGTTATGTCCCAAGGTGGCAATGCCCGACAGAGGAGGGTGCTTCTGACCGAGGGGTCAGAGGCAGGCCTCCCGAGAGCGGAGGCGTTACGCGGCGCGGACAGCAGCCCTGTCTGGTGAAACCATAATGCGAGCCACACATGTCATTTTAATAGTAATTTAGTAGCCACGTTAAAAAAGTAATAAACAAATAAACTACATTTATAGCTATATCGAACTCTAGGGCTTCCCTGGTGGCTCACAGGGTAAGGACCCCGCCTGGAAGGCGGGAGACCTAGGCTTGACTCTGCTCCGGAGGTCCCCTGGAGAAGGGCATGGCTACCCACTCCATCTTCTTGGCTGGAGAATCCCATGGACAGAGGAGCCTGGCGGGTTACAGTCTGTGGGGTCGCAGAGTCGGACACAGTTGAGTGACTAATGACACACACACATCCAACTTGCAATCAGTATTTTTAAATTACTAGTAAGTTTTACTTTATTTCTAAACCAAGTCTTCAAAATCTGCTGTGAGTTTGCTCTCAGAGCACTTTTTTAAGGACTGGCCACATGTTCAGTGCTCACAGCCATAACGTGCTTGGGGGCTTCTGGATCAGACAAGGTGGGCCATTAGATGGTGTTAAGGCGCAGGTTGGATGGGGGTAGCGATGAGGTACCGGGGTCCCGTGAGGCGCAGGGAATGTGAGGACCTCAGCTCGGCTCAGGTTTTGGACTTAACATGGAAAATGTTAGAAACATAGCGTGAGGCCAGACCGCGGCAGACCTTGAACACTTGAGCTCGGTTTGGTGAGTCACACAGAGTCAGGGACTGGGGCTTGGACAGGAGAGAGGGTGACGTTCTCAAGCAGGAGCCCGCAGGCGAGGCTGCAGGAAATCCCTCCGTCTCGGTGCATGTGATTTTTCTGTAGGGCTGCCTTGGGGGACTTGTCTGAGGGAGGAGCCGGCCCGCGTAGCCTGTATTATCAAATTCTGCATGAGGGTTTTTGGGCGGCCTGCTCAGGATGTTTGTCATCTGTTTCAGCACGCTCACCAGGAACATCCGGCACCGGAGGGGCGAGAAAGTGGTCATCAACGTGCCCAGTGAGTCCGCGGGCGGGGAGGGGGCGGCCCTGCCCGCTGCGGATGCGACTCTCACTCACGCCCTGCTCTCCTCTTTCTCTCTGGTTTTATCACTGCAGTCTTTAAGGACAAGAACACCCCAGCTCCATTTATAGAGACTTTTCCTGAGGACGAGGAGGCCGCGAAGGCCGCTAAGCCCGACCACATTTACATGGATGCCATGGGCTTCGGGATGGGCAACTGCTGCCTGCAGGTACCGTGCAAAGACCCGGAGAGGCGAGCTGCCCCCCATTTCTGTTCATTACCTTCTTTTCTTGAGATGCGCGTGTTTGGTTTTTAAAATTTTCATCAGGTTGAAATATTATTGTAACTAGTGACATCTTTCTGAAATCCACTGAGGTTATGTTAGTAAATTCATTGGAAGGTATCTCTGAACAGAATTTGCAAAATCTTCAGTTCACTGCAAAAACACAGCTGCTTAACATGTGGAATGTTCCAGGGTCACTGTCTCAGCTCTTTCTGTGCCTAATTTTTGCTGCCATCTAGTGATGGGTTAGCTTTGAGATTGTAAACACTGCTCAGATCTTAGTTTCTGAAAATGAACCCTGGATGCACCCCAGTGAGTTTATGGTCCAAGAGAAGGATTGTTTGGACTTTAAACTCCTATCTTCCTGTAAGGCTGTATAGTGGTATAAAAAGAATAAATATTTAACAGCCCTGGTTTGCCTTGCCCCTGGCTGTTTCACAGGACATGGAAGAGCCTCTCTTTTAATGACGTGATTAAAACTGCCCCCGGGTCTAATCTGATTGCTGGTGCCTGTGGCAGCGATGCTTCCCCATCCCATAGGAGATCTGTGGGGGATCCCTCCAGCTGCCCGCGAGCCCCCATCCAGGCTTCAGCTGTCATCTCTCGGGCACTTGGCTAACTCCTTTCCCTTCTTCTGGCCTCAGTTTTCTCATCATAAAAGAAGAGTTTATATTACGGCCCCTTCTAAGTGTGACTGAGCTCATACTCTTGTGTTCTTTTTAGTAACAGCAGTACTGGTTTCAGTCTTCAGTTTGTTTACAGTCATGTCGGGGCCTTCCTGGTGGTCCAGGAAAAGACCACCTTAAGGTTAAAGACCCGGTTACGAATTCGCCTGCCAACGCAGGGGGACACAAGTTCGATCCTAGTCCGGGAAGATCCCACATGCCTCAGGGCAGCTCGAGCCTGTGCCCTACAACATGAGAAGCTGCTGCCATGAGAAGCCCACGCACAGCAGCAAAGGCCCAGAGCAGCCAAAAACAAGTAAATAAAAATATTAGAAAATAAAATGTTAGAAGTAGGAGTGGCACAAAACTAGACGTTTCAAACTGAAAATCTCCGGCGAAAAGGGGAGCCTCACTGTTATGTAAGGAGATTGTGTCCAGTTCCAATGACTTGGCTGGCTGGAGCACCGTGAAGCCTGGCCCCACGGGAGGTGGCCCTGCTCTGCACACACAGCTGGTGACCCTGTGTCGCACCATCTCGGGCAGCTTCGCACAGAGGCACGCCTGCCTGCACCTGGATCTCAGATGCATTCATTTTTACAGCTGTGTATAATCAGAATTGAATGTGAGAGTCAGATGTATCCATGCTAAGTGTGTCTAAGTAACCATGGCCGAGGATCTCATTCCCCCCGTTTTTCCTGACTCACTGATGTAAGTGGTATAAAGCGTGTCTGCCAAACAAACCTAGGTCATGAGTTTCCTTCCAGCTAGGCACACTGCATAAAAAAGGAGACTTTTTGACTTTTAACTGCATATCTGCTTAACTATCTTAATTACAAATATTTCTGAAGAGAGCCATTAAACTCTAGAACTTAACAGTGTATGGCTTTAAAATTGTAGCAGTGCTATTGGAGTGCCAGTTGCCTTTTTTCGTTGGTTTACTATTAAACCAAGGTGTTCTGCCTAAGACTGCACTGTTACCCCATTCCAAAGGGATCATTCTTTGCTTTGATACAGTGTTTATACAAACAAATATGTCCTAATGGTAGGTAGTTTACATTTTTATTGCTTGTAGATACAGTTTTCCATCCAATTTAAGCATTGTCATGGGTTTAAGGTTGTTTTCTTTTTCTAAATGGCGTGTCCAGCCACCCCACTTTCAATACTACACTTAAAAGTCTTTAGCCCAGCTAATGAGTAAGTGGAAAATGAAACAGATTCCACCAATCTCCACAGAAGTCTCTCTGCTATCTCTTAAGTGGAACCCTAGAAACTACCCATTACAAGAAAGCAGGACAAAATGATTTCAAAGTATTGTTTTAAGGTTTTTTAGCAACTCACTGTACAGAACAAAAGGTATTTTAACCATATTCAAATTCTTGACTCTCAGGGGACTTTTAAGGAATCATTTAATAAGTTCATGCATGTTATGATAGGCTCCCTTCCTCCCCCGACCCCCCAAAAAATTCTGATTTCAACACTGGATACTAGAGAAATTTTAGGTATTTAGTTTTCTAAAATCAATTTTTCTTCTTTTTTTCCCACTCCTCATTTTCCTGAGGGGGAATTGCTTCTTTTCTTTATATGATACTTTGAAAGGATACCAGAAGCCAAAACCATTCATATATTCATACCTTTTTAAGGTGTTAAGAATTCTTTTTCCTTTTCCATTGTCATGGCAGTGACGTCCTCTGTGGTTTGGCTGTGGCTCTGTCGATCCTGGGGTAAGGAAGCTAGCTCTTAAATGTACTTAAAATAACTAAGCTGTAAGCCGTATCACGTTGTAACTTGGTTATTGAATTCCAGCTGCCAGCTTTCTTAAGCATATTTTTCTAGGGTTGACTTTTCCAGAATTTGCCTGTAAATGTAGTGTGTACTAGACAGTCTAAGAGGCACTAATCAAAAAACTGAGAAGAAAGCCTACTTACGGGTCTCCTGGTCTCTCCGTGGCTCAGTACGCCTGCCATGTCCCAGTGCTGCGGCTCCCCACCGTCCGAGGACCACCCGGGCCCAAACCCAGGTCTCCTGTCGTCTGCGCCCGCCGGCTCCGGGCCCGCGGTGGCCCTTCTGTGCCTCCTCCACCAGCCCGCAGTTCTTCCTGGGCAGCTGAAGTGTTTTAACTGCCTTCTCTTCCTTCCTACAGTCCTGCCTCCTTCCAGGCTGTTCCGCATTGTGTCACAGTGGGGAGCTTTGAAGCCCATTATTCGCATCTGCAGATTCTCCTTTTGTACCAAAATTTATACAAGCCCGCAGCCAGCCAGACATGGATGGCCAGCTGTAGAAGAGAAGTGCCTGACTGAACTTCTCTGTTAATATAGGTCCTATTTTTCTTTGCTGACTTCTTAATCATACTTAACTTTAGAACATGGTTATTTATATCCCATGCAAACATGATTAAAGCCATATTCTAGACAAGTTCATCCCAGACAGCTTTTAAAACTGGCTTCAGTGTTGGGATCAGTGGAATGACCTCACATGCCATGAGCAACAACCTTCCTTCTCCGGACTGGCTCCTTGGGGAGGATGGTGGTGGTTTTGTATTATTGTTTAATAATCTGTGATTCTTAAACAGGTAACGTTCCAAGCCTGCAGCATATCTGAGGCCAGATACCTTTATGATCAGTTGGCTACCATCTGCCCAATTGTTGTAAGTAGAAATCACACCTAATTTTAACTACTCTTTTGTATCAGATAAAGACTGCATGTGCAAAATTTGCTGACCGTGTGCTATTTAAGTCCAGTTAAGACTTCATTTAGAACTGAACTAACACAACTAGTATGCAGACGTGGAGCTCATGGGTAAGCGTCTAAGCTGAAGAGTTCAGCAGTGCTTTAGCTAGCGAGGCATTTATGTGTTAAACGTCAAGTTCAAGCATAGCTGTCTTCCTTCTCTCATCCCGCCTGTCCTCGCCGTCTAGAGAGGATGATTCAAGGAAGCGGAGGCCAGGGCTGGAGCCACTGTCCTCCCCAGGAGCAGGCAGGCGCAGTACACGTGCTAGAGCCCGCAGGGGTGGCGCAAGCTGGTGCTTCTAGACCAGGGGTACCTGCACGGAGCCTTCTTCAGCGTGTTGGTGACACTTTGACCTTGCAGATGCTGACTTCTGTTTGTTCCTAGATGGCTTTGAGCGCTGCGTCGCCTTTTTACCGAGGCTATGTGTCAGACATTGATTGTCGCTGGGGCGTGATTTCTGCATCTGTAGATGATAGAACTCGGGAGGAGAGAGGACTGGAGGTGGGAACGCTTTTCCTTATTAGCCTTTTGAATCCAGCAGGTGAAGTGGGGGTCTTGTCACCACTCACAGTGTTGAAGTCTCCTTTAAACCGATTTTATCCTGAGTGGGTTAGTCACACATGGAAGAAGCTGACAGCTTATCAGCCTGTCTGTGGCTTTATGGTGTGTTTGGGGTGAGAAGGTGGGAAATGTGGTTTGGTTGGAGGGGGGAGGGCGGTGCCAAGTTAATCTCCATCATTTGTTGAGATCTGTGTCTGTTTGCCCTCTAAAATTGGTAGAACAGTTTTTCTTTATTTTGGAAGTCAGTGCTGACGGCTGTTTTTACCATAAAGCTTTTTGGCGCTACCTGAGTGCTTTGTCTATGGCGCTTTCTCTGCTGGGGAAAGCGTAATCTGTTGTCAGAGTCCTTGGCCCCTTACAAAGGGTGAGTTTTGCCTAAGAAGGGTAGGTTTGTGCCTCTTGTTTGCATGTTAAACTCTGACCCTGCATCTCTCCAACCAAGAGTGTGCATCAGAACCACCTGTAGAGCTTTTTAAAAATACTCACTCAGCCCTGCCCACCCACAGACCCAGTGAGCAGAGAAAGCCCAGAGCTGAGGCGCAGACGTGCGTGTTAGTAGCGGGTCCTCACAGGCGAGTCTCATGGTCCTGACCAGGGCTGCGCCGCTGCTGCTCTGGTCTCTATGTAATTGTTCATAAATTGTTGACCATGCTTTCTGAGTAGAAATAAGCTTTAAAGCAGAAATTTTAATGGTTTTTTAATGGTTTAAACCAAATTTTTTGGTTTACATTATGAAAGTGTTAGTGGCTCAGTCATGTCTGGCTCTCTGCAGCCCCATGGACTATAGCCCACTAGGCTGCTCTGTGCCTGGGGTTTTCCAGGCAAGAATACACTGTGGGTTTATATTTTTGCTCTCAACATGGGCATTTTCTAGTCTTAATAATAATGGTGATCCACTTGTAAAAAAAAAAAAAAAAGGAGTATATATATTTAACTCAGATCAGAGAACAGATTAAATTGTCTCCAAATTTTTTTTTTTTCTAATTCTAATACTTTTCAGGGTTAATAGCTATTTTTCAGGATCTCATGTTCAGGTTGGACACTTTTAGGTAATTGTAAAGTATATAAGCTTCTAATATAATTACTTGGGATATTAGTTTATTTCCACATCACTTTATATGGCATTCATTTGCATTTTTTCAATTTTAGCCACTGAAGAAAAACCACTATAGGATCAGTAAGTCCCGATACGATTCGATAGACAGTTACTTATCTGAGTGCGGTGAGAAATACAATGACATTGACCTGACAAAAGACAAAGAAATCTACGAACAGCTGTTGCAGGAAGGTAAGCCTCCATTCCCCTTGTCTAGATTTGACTGTGTAAGCCTTTAGTTCTTCAACACTCTCTTAAACTCCTTTGCTGACTCCCATCTGGCTTCTGTTTTTAATGTGAGGTCTCTGAACTTTTCTTATGAGGCTGTTTGCCCTAAAGTTTCAAGTCCCAAATACTTGTGAGAGCTTAACTTGTAGCAAAAAGAACTGACTTTGGAGGTGTGTCCCTGAGATCCCCACGGGCATCGTTTAAGGGGTGAACACAACTCCGACACTCCCCTCGGGTCTGCAGGATAAACTCGGGGCGACACAAGAATCCTGCACAACCCAGCGTCTCCTAAGCTCCTAGCTGCCTTTCTTCAACCCCCCGAGCTGTCTGCCGTCCCCGGGGCGTGGAGAGCGGCTCTGGAGTGAGCCTGGTGTGACCTCTCCGCAGGCCTCGACCACCTGCTGGCCCAGCACGTGGCGCACCTCTTCATCAGAGACCCGCTGACTCTGTTTGAAGAGAAAATCCACCTGGATGATGCCAACGAGTCCGACCACTTTGAGGTACCTGCAGCGAATGCTTTAAAAAATAAGAACATGCCTGCTACTTTCAGAGTCACTGATGTGTCACCTCACTTCTGTTAAATGCTCGCTGTTTAGTTTCCTTTGTAAATTGAAGGGTATACACAGTAAATAGTCTGCTTCACATGTTAAGTATGAAATCACCTTAGGATCTTCCCAGATATGTGGAAAATTGGTTTTATTCTCTGCTTTTTGATTACAGAATATTCAGTCCACAAATTGGCAGACAATGCGATTCAAGCCTCCTCCTCCAAATTCTGACATTGGGTGGAGAGTGGAATTCCGGCCCATGGAGGTACGTGGGCTGTGGGCAGGAACCAACTCAGTTGAACCTATTCCCACCTGACCGACACCCACCCACCTGTACCCTCCCCAGAGTCTTGGGTTACCCAGGCAGCAGCACAGATCGCGTGTGTGTGCATGTCACATGGGAGCCCAGCGGCTCGGGAGGACTGCTTTCCGGAAGTAGACTGTGGGCAGAGGCTCCCGTCCCCGGGTGGGGGTTAGGAGGTGATGGGAACGCTGTGACCCGCAGGGGCCCCTCGGGAGGAGCCGCTGGCACAGTGGGTCCCTGACGTCTTGGCCCCACGTCCAGGTTCAGCTGACAGACTTCGAGAACTCCGCATACGTGGTGTTTGTGGTGCTGCTCACCAGGGTCATCCTGTCCTACAAACTGGACTTTCTCATCCCGCTGTCGAAGGTAAGGATGGTTTTCAGCTTAGGGCTGGCTGTGGGTATCTGGATTATCATCTGATGCTCCTTTATGTGTAATACTTGTTTCAACTCTGACCTCACTTAGACCTGTTCCTCCTTAGAAAGAGTGTTCCCCTTCCACCTTGTTTTTTTTACTTTCAAACCAAAGTTTATACTATAGATTTGGGGACCGTTTTGGTGGAGACTCCTGAAAAAAAGTGCTGATGGTAGCTCCTTACTCGGCCCATTTGAAGGACATTTAGGGTTACATTTGAATAACCACTAATGTCTAGACTTTGGATTTAAGATGGTGGTGGGAGGGGGTGCCCCCTGTGTGTTTCATCCTGTCACCTCCCAGGCTGGTCATGACCTTGCTCAGTGCAGGGAGGGGGCGCCTCAGAGGACCTGAGCTGGGGAGGTTTCTGGAGAATGAGGATGGCAGGGCACCATCGGAAAAACAGACCTGAATCCACCCCAGCCCAACTAAGACAAAGATGAGCTTTCTGGAAGCTGTTCAGGGCCTTGAAACAGCTCCAGGCTCTGAGGCTGCAACGCCACAGGCCCTGGGGCCATAGTCAAGTGACCATGGAGGCCTTAGTCTCCTGGCTGCAGGACCGGGCACGGAGCGGGGCCAGGAGCGGCTGCGGGCAGAGTGGGGTCTGTGGGGCTCAGGGCCAGAGCGTAGACAGTGGGGCACACTGCTTGTCCCGGCGAGCATGGAGGAGGACCAGCGCCTGCCCCCACACGCCGTTCCCCCTTCCTCCGTGGGGGCCACTCCAGCCGGTGCACACATGCACCCTGAAGAAGTCTGGAGGTCAGGCTGACCCTGCCTGCCCACTGCACCCAGGCCCAAGGTGACCGGCAGGACTCTGCGGACCCCTGTTAGCTGTGTGGGGCACCCCCTGGGGAGACCAGACCATGTGATGGGTCCATGAGAGCTGCCTGTCTAATTAAGCCTTTGCTTATGAATGTAAATATACTTGACTCTTGGACAACACAGGCATTATGGACTCTGACCTCACACAGTCAGAAAGTTACATGTAACTAACAGTCAGTTCCTCCGTATCCGAGAATTCGACCTGCAGATCGTGGAGTACTGTGATGTTTACTGCTGGAGAGCACCTTCATCTAGGGGGACGTGCGTTGTTCCAGGGTCAGGTATAGATACCTGAAAGGCAGGAGAAACTTGAAAACTTTTAATAGCCTTAAAGAGAAGAGCCCATGGGCCCCCAGAGTGTATTATCCTCAGTGGAACGCGGTTAATTTGGAAACTGGAAAGAATTTTTAAAGAAATTCTCACTAATGCCCCTGAAGAAATCCTAGACAAGAGTTGCATCTTAAATAAACAAGCCCTGTGGATCAAAGAACATTTGGAGATCAGAGGAGTTCTCAGAAACAAAGGACGTGGTTGCCACACTTTTAAAAGTCAGTATGCTCCCCAGTAAGCGGGTGTGGTTGAAGTCACTGATTTCGGGAACCAAACTGAGATTCATCCCTGTAGGACGGCAGAGAAATGGAAATAATGGGAAAAGCAAGAGAGAAATTCTTTGAAAAGTTCAGCGTTTGTCTAATAATTAGAAGAAGAGAATGGTCTACACAAAAGATGTGTGAGAGACGATAAATGAATATAATTTTCCCCGAGTAAGAATCCATTAAGGATAAGACAGAAATAGATAAAGAAGAACCGAAATCTAGAAAGAATCTCAAAGAAAAGATCAGTTGCCAGAAAGGAGAGGAAATTAGGCTACTTAGCTTTCTGCCAAAAAGAAGAAAAATCAGTTGGTCTCATTTCTCATCTACAACATTAAACGCTGGAAGAGATGGAGAGAAGTCTCCAGAATCCTGAAGGTAAAGAACTAGAACCGTGAACATCTCTGGCATCCGAGCTAGTCTTTAAATTCCGAGTGATTATAACAAAAAATATTAAGTTAGGGCTCAGAGTCAGCCAGAAATCTTATCTCTCAAGGGGTCAGTGGAAGGAGGGGAATAGTAGATGCTTCTTGATGGCTGACATCTGGAGAAAGAATTTCAAAACTACTTGTCCATCTAGTCAAGGCTTTGGTTTTTCCAGTAGTCATGTATGGATGTGAGAGTTGGACTGTGAAGAAAGCTGAGCATCGAAGAATTGATGCTTTTGAACTGTGGTGTTGGAGAAGACTCTTGAGAGTCCCTTGGACTGCAAGGAGATCCAACCAGTCCATCCTAAAGGAAATTAGTCCTGAATATTCATTGGAAGGACTGATGCTGAAGTTGAAACTCCAATACTTTGGCCACCTGATGCAGCTCATTGGAAAAGACCCTGATGCTGGGAAAGATTGAAGGCAGGAGGAGAAGGGGACAACAGAGGATGAGATGGTTGTATGGCATCACCAACTCAATGGACATGAGTTTGAGTAAACTCCAGAATTGGTGATGGACAGGGAGGCCTGGCGTGCTGCAGTTCATGGGGTCTCAAAGAGTCAGACACGACTGAGCGACTGAACTGTCTGAAAGTAAGAAGAAACACTTAATGGTTAGAAATAGGATTTGTCGCCTCTAATCTCCTAGCTAAAGGCGGTGGGGAAAGGACAAAGAAAACCTCCGGTGCCACAGAAGTAGGTCTCGGGCCGTGGGCATGGTAAGACAGTATGCCCAAGAGAGCATACGATGGTGAAAATAAGATGAAGACAAATTTGAATAGACTATATTCTCCTATTCAAATACTGAAAGCAGTGATCTAAAATAGCAGTGTAATTTGCATAAGATACACCTAAAACAAGGACAGACGTTGACAGTAAAGTGCTCCATAATGACCTTTTAAAAAGAATACAGGAATGGCAAAGTTGTAACAGAGAAATGTGAGAAAGTCTTAAATGAGAACAGAAAGCAAGTTTGTCCACTTGCTCATCCAAGATCATTAGAGCCACGATTCTTGTTTTTTCTAACCAGAAAGCATAGCTCAGGAGCATAAACGACTTTAAGGGCACCGAAGCACAGAGGGCAAGATGCTGGTCCGGGTGAGCACGCAGTCACTTGCAGCGCCTGGCAGCGTTTTCACCTGGACCGCTTGTCCTCCGCGCCTCGGTGTGCAGGTGCAGAGGGGATCGCGGGCCGTCCCGAGGCCATGTCAGGACAGTGGAGTAGACCACTTACTAGAGAAGTTGTCCTGTTACCTAGTAACTGACAGGTCACACACTCAGAGGAAGAGAAAAGCCAGAGAGGACGTAAACGACACGCTCCACAAGCTTGGCTGTGTCATTTGTACCACAGATCTCATACTGCACACACCTTTTGAATGTCCTGAGGAAGTATATCAAAAGTTAATCAAGGAAAATACAGTAAGTCATGTTTCCACCAAAACTCATCAAGAAAATGTTCAGGAAAAATTTAACTGTTGGAAATTTTAAGTTGTTTTCCTAATAGGTTCTACATTAAATCAAAATTAGAACTGTAGGTTGTATAGGAAAATGATGCTGGCAAAGCTGGGCTCAAGGAAAAAACCGTAGCTTTAAATGCTTTAACAGAAAGATTAAAAATAAACCTAAGTAGTCAAATTAAGAATCTAAAGAGCAGTAGTAAAAATAGACTGAAAAAGGAATTTCTAAAAGCAGAAATTACAGCTGTTGATCTTTGTGACTTTTTGTCAAGACTAAGAAAATACAAGTGTTGACTAGGATTAAAGCCAGACGTATGAAGATTATTATTTGAACATGTTCCTAGAACTATCTATATTAATCTGAAGGTCATATGTACCTTAAAAAAAAAAATAACTGTAGGAATTAATGGGTGTGAAGGGCAAAGCTGAGGGATCCAAGACTTTGTCCCAGCCGTCCCTTCAAGTGTGACCTCTGACTTGTGTCCATTTTGTATATTGGAGTGTCCCCTACGATTTCATTATATTGATTGAAATAAATGAAGAATTCACGAAGAGGGAGCTGGAGCTCCCGAGGGAGTGGGCAGAGCCCCACTCGGGCAGGCAGCCTGCCTGCTGCCAGGTGGTGGGGTGAGGCAGCAAAGCCCTGGGGGCAGGGAGGACAGAGGGCCCCCCACCCCCAAGGCAGCAGGGCCTCTGCGCTTCCCTCCAGCTGTGAGCTGGGACCGCCCGGTGCCTCCCCAGCACTGTACATTCCCCCCAGGCTTTCCCAGGCAGCCTCCACACGTGTAAGTTTCACGTGGATTTCTAAGGCGCGCGTCTCTTCAAGTTGCCCTGTTATGGAAAAGCGCGTCCCAGGCTGGGGTTGAGGGACACGACCCCACATGACTGTGCAGCCTCTCTGGCCGCAGCCAGCGCTGAGGGGTGGGAAGGTTCATCACAGGCGGGTCCGCGGCCCCACCCCTGTGGGAGCAGGAGTGTCCCCGATTCGGGAACATTCTGACGTGGCCACGATGGTTTTCCTCCTTAGGTTGATGAGAACATGAAGGTCGCCCAGAAGCGAGATGCCGTCCTGCAGGGACTGTTTTATTTCAGAAAAGACATTTGCAAAGGTACTGCCTTTTCTTGCATTTCTGGGGTCCCCGGAGGCCACACTGGTTGCTAACATGCCCTGCGCCCCTCCAGCAGGTGGCAACGCTGTGGTGGATGGCTGCGGCAAGGCCGCGGGCAGCGCAGAGCCAGCGGCCGAGGAATACATGCTCATGACCATTGACACCATCATCAATGGCAAGGTAGGGCCCGCTTTGGCCTGTGCCCCAACTGCCTGCCCAGATCCCCCCTGCCGAGCGCCCCTGCCTGACCGCGCCCTGCTCCTCGCAGGAAGGTGTGTTCCCCGGGCTGATCCCCATCCTGAACTCCTACCTGGAGAACATGGAGGTGGATGTGGACACCAGATGCAGCATTCTGAACTACTTGAAGCTGATCAAGAAGAGAGCGTCTGGTATGGCATCCTTTGCTTTTCTTTCTTTTAAAACCAAAAAATCTCGTTAACACAGGCAGAACCTCACCGTCTTAAAATACTCAGTTTTTAAAGTGGTCTTTTATTAAAGTCTGCACCATCCTAAATCAATGCTCTTTTCCAGGTAGTACCGTCTCTGCAGTTACATACACCTTGTTGTCTTTGACAGTCACCTTTGAATCAGCAGCACATTTTCTCTTACTGGTTCATAAACTAGTGTTGCATCTATAACCTGATGGCGTTTTAGGTGATAAAACACTGTATGTGGGTAGTTTGTCATTGATGCTCGACTGTGCGCGCTCTGCAGCACCCTGTACTCTATAGTGAGTCTAAGCCAGTTCAGAGGTGAACTAACTAAGTACACAGCTTGAACTCAGGCCCTCTAGCCTGCCTCCCTGTAGGGCCGCCCAGGGACCCCTGCTTTCTCAGCTTTGAGATCCTGGTGGCCAGGGAGCCGTCAGCTGTGACTAAGAGGACAGCGGCTTGTGTATTTTGCTTGAGGCTTCTGTACGGTTTCCAGAGCCAAGAGGATAACCCCCCAAGTGCTGTCTCTGCGGGTTTCTCTCTGAGCGCATCTACTCACTCTTCTGTGTCCCTCTTTGATCAGGTCGCTCTGGGGAACACAGAGCCCCCCGTCCAGGGCAATCTGACACTGGCAAGCCTGGCTGGATGGGAGGACACGGACTAGTCAACATGCGTTGGCTCCTGTGTCTTAGGGCGGGCGGTGTCCCCGTATGGGTGGCACCTAACAGGTCTCATAGCAGCAGGACGCATGTGTTCTCGCTGCTTGCCTGCAACATGAAACCCTGCCCAGGAGGAGTTCTTCAAACAAGGTGAAAAACATCTTGTTCCCAGCCCGGGCCGTGTGGCTCGGCCCAGACGCCACTCTTGATTCTTCTTCAGGGTTGTGTTGTCTAGCCGCTAAGTGTCAGCTTACTAAAGATAAAAACCAAACCCAACAAATAAAAAAATACTACTAAGTTGTCATTTAAAAAAAAATTATTTTTCTCCCCCAGGAGAATTAATGACAGTTGCCAAATGGATGAGGGAGTTTATCGCAAAGCATCCCGACTACAAGCAGGACAGTGTAATAACTGACCAGATGAACTATAGCCTTCTTCTAAAGTGTAATCAAATCGCAAACGAATCATGTGAGTGCCCAGAGTTACTCGGACCAGCGTTTAGGAAAGTAAGGTACAGTGGAAGCAAAACCGACTCTCCCACCTAGACACCCTGCAGGACGAGAAGCCCTTCCCCGCGTTCCCGGAGAACTGACGGCTGGACCGGCTGTGTGCGCTGTGTGAAGAGCGGGTGGTAATAGCGCGCTGCCCTGGCAGAAGTGGGTCTAAGCAGACCTAGAGTTTATACAGTGTACATGTACATAGTAAAGTATTTTTATGATTAACAATGTATTTTAATAACATTGTATCTAAGGTTCTTCGTGAGCTGGCTTGTACATTTTTCAATTCTGACTCTGGAGCAACTACTGTCTGAAGCAGTTTTGTAAATGTAACTTACCAGTAACTGTACTATATCTGCATTCCAGAGTTTAAAATGTTTACTGTAAATTTTGGCTTTTTTTTTTTTAAGACATTAACCTAGTACCTGATTCACTGAACATTCTGTCACTTTACCTTAAGAACAGGTTGTCCTGCTCATTTCCTTTGCATCATCTCCTTTGGCATATGTGTAAAATCACTTTTGAATCCACCCAAGTGCTTCAAGGGGAAGCTTGGGGTTCTGGCGCCTTATCTGTGACAATTCTCTCGTAATTTGAATAGCTAATCCTTTGGTAACCCTGTCCCAGGCTTTCCCTACTAAAACAAAACCCACTGAACTGATGGTACTTTTTAATCCACATTTGCTAATTTTGGTGTTAAGGTTAAAGACAACTCTGGAAGAAGAAAGACTCTGAGTTCACATGTAGTGATTATTGGGGGTGTTTTTTTTTTAAGGAAAAAAATGGGGAATATCGTCTTTCTCCTTGTACACAACAAAACTAATCAAAAATGCCACCAGCTCTTCTCTTGTGGCCTCTGTTTTTTTTCTGATTGCTGCTGTCTACTTAAATTTTCAAATCAAATGCAGTTGCTGAAGTTTTTGTTACTTTTTCTCTAGTTTCCAATAAGCATATTATAAACATTCTTCTAAAAGCCATTCATTCTAGATTTTACCCAAGGAATATTCTGCATACTACTTAGCTTATCTGCAAAAATCATGATATGCACTAAGTTTTGTGAATCAGGACCCTCAATGTTTAATTGTAAATAATTTAAGTTGCACACAATTGTTAGAGCTTTTTTGTTGAAGTTTTTTTCCAATTAATTAAATGTCTTAACTGCTTCTGAAATAACTATGTATAGTAGATTATGCAGACCTTTACAGGCATAAATATTTAAACTGTCATGCTTATTTTAAGAAATTGCCATAAAGCTTCAGCTAAGCCTGTTTATGTACTAGAGTTTGTGCTATATTTCATACATGCATTTTGGAGGATAAAAGAATGCCTGTTTTTCCTTTGCAATTTGCTTATGTAAATTCAGGTTGTAAAAAGGCAGTAAAATGTTTGTGGTATGAGGAAATAAAAGAATGGAATTGGCATTGTGAAAACTCTTGAAAGTGTGAGTTCTGCAACTAATCAGATAGTGGTGGATTTTTTTTTTTTAATTAGCCCAAGTACGCCAGAAGGTGATTTCTTCATCATGCTCCATCCTCAGCTCTTTCTAGAAAGAAGCACAGTGATGAGAACAGATGCCCGGCCTCCCCAGGAGCCCTCAGTGCTGTGGGGAGGGCAGCAGTGACCCCCAGACATGAATTTTCCATTTATTCCAAACCATCACCGTGCTGGGTCGGTGATCACGTGGTGAATTACAGGCAAGTAACTCAGGTGCTGTGTGCACAGTGGTGAATCCACTCAGACCGGCTCAGCAGGCCTGGCAGACAGCCATTGCCCACCCACATCTTCACACACACACCTCTCACCTACCCCCAACCCCTAGTTCATCTGGTCCATCCACTTTTCTCAACTTCACCTGCTGGTCTGCTTTTATTTATCTGAATGATCCTAGGGCAGGCTCGCTGTCAAACGAATCTGCATACACGTCTCCGACTGAAGCGCACCCTGACTCAGTGGGTCCGGGGTGAGGGCCCGTAGGCAACGCCGATGCTGCTGGTCTGTGGACCGTGTTGAGAAACAAGGACTTAGATCACTCCTGCATCTCAGACACACATCCGTTCCAAGTGTCAGCTGACAGTTCCAAGTGTCAGCTGACACTGATCTTTCATGTGTATCTGAAAATCAAATAGCAGACCGTATCTCTGTCCTAGACAAAGCATCACCTTTTCCTCCTGAGCACAGCTGAGGGTTCAGGCTTTGGGAGCAAAACAATAAACAAACTCTTTGAGATAAGCAGAGTGCCTTGTCCTTGGTGGAAATAGCATTGGCTGAGCCCAGACACTCACTCAGAACACAGCTGGCCCTTACTTGACCCAAGTCTCCTGGATTCACAAGAGGTTTCCAAACAAACAAAACCTGTGAAGGAGGCTTCTCTGGTGGCTCAGTGCTGACAAGTCCTCCTGCCACCGCAGGAGACACGGGTTTTTGATCCATGATCCAGGAAGATCCCGCATGCCACAGGACAGCTAAGCCCGAGAGCCACACAGCCCTCGGGACACGACTGAGCCTGCCGCCCTGGAGCCGGCGCTGTGCAGCAAGAGACGCCACCACAGGGAGAAGCCTGCGCCACAATCGGGGAGTAGCCCCCGCTTGCCACAACTAGAGAAAAGCTTGTGCAGCCCTGGAGACCCAGCGCTGGAAAAAGCACATAAAATTTACAAAGAAGCCCGTTAGGGACTTTCCTGGCGGTCTCGTGGTGTTTAAACCCCAAGCTTCTGAGGCAGGGGGCTTGAGTTCGATCCCTGGTCAGGGAACTAAGATCCCGTGTGCCTCGCGGCCCAGCCCGGCCCCAGGATGCTCTGTCTGCCGCCCGGGCCCTGGCTGTCGGCAAGCCTTTCTGTCTCTGGAGGGAGCTGGCCCGGGCCGCTGCCTTCTGAACTAGCACCTACACAGAAATTAACTAAGAGTGCAAAGTGTGGAAACCCAGCATGAGGCCACATCTCTGCAGGTTTCTTGGGGATCCTGCAGAGAGAAAATGTGACAGCATCCTTCAAGCACTGGTGGTGTCAGATGTGGGGGGAAGGGACGTGGGGCTCCAGGGCGTCAAGGTTCCCTGCTGGGGAAGGGGTCCTTCTCAGAACTGTACAGGGGCTGTTTTAACGGCAGGGTTCTTAGGGGTGCTACTAATAAACTTTCCGTTTAGATTAAGGCTCCCCGCGCCTACGTTCCCTGAAGATAAGCCACTGAGATCTACCAGCTGCTCTCTCTTCATTATGCTTTTGTGTAAATATTTAACATTCCCTGTAAATGCTTCTGAACATGTATATCAAGTGATATCTAGGGAAGTGTAAATTAGAAGGGAACCACTGTCTGGACCGGACGTGAGGAGGCCTTAGCGGGTGACCTTGGCTGGGAAAGATGCGCTCCTCAGATTCCAGTAAGTCTCCTACACACGAGCAAGTTCCGTTCATGTTCTGAACATGTTCCTAAGTCCAACAAAGTTACCCTAGATGCCCAACTAACAAAATTGGCTATATAGTACTGTACAGTAATATGTTTGTAATACTTACCACACAAATAATACATGAAAAAACAAACACAAAAGATAAAACATTTTTAATCTTACAGTACAGTCTTTGAAAAGGACTGCAGTACAGGACAATAGCTGGCTTACATACATGGGCTGGCATCAAGTGGACAGGCAGGAAGAGTTACGAGGAGGGAGAGAAGGTGGGAGATGGCAGAGCTGAAGGTTCCGCAATAAGAGACATGACAAGCTGCAGTTTCACTAAAGCCTGACTGTGATGGAAGGAATGTTTGCATCTTTGAAAGTTCAAAACTTAAAGGTTTGTACATAGGGGATTTGCTGTATTTGCATTATGATATTATTTGTATTTATAGTAAGTGGAGGCTGAAATTGGCTGGATAGTCCCTAAAGCCCCTTTCATTCTTAACATTTTGTGAAATGAAACATTACAAAGCATGTGCATGCGTGCTAAGTCACATCAGTCATGTCTGACACTGTGCAACCCCATGGACTATAGCCCTCCAGACTCCTCTGTCCATGGGATTCTCCAGGCAAGAATACTGGAGTGGGCTGCCACGCTGTCCTCCAGGGGATCTTCCCAACCCAGGGATTGAACTTGTGTCTCTTACATCTCCTGCATTGGCAGGGAGGTTCTTTACCACTAGCACCACCTGGGAAGCCCATGAAGTATGGAAGATGCAGTAAGAGCAATAGTGCCTCCAGGCTTTATTTCAAAGCACATTACAAAGCTGTGGTAATCAGCATGGAATTAGTATAAAAACTGATCAATGGAACACAATAGAGAGCCAGAAATAAATTCACATATACATGGTCAATTCAGTTCGGTTCAGTCACTCAGCTGTATCCGACTCTTTGTGACCCCATGGACTGCAGCATGCCAGGCTTCCCTGTCCATCACCAACTCCCAGAGCTTGGTCAAACTCATGTCCACCAAGTTGGTCAGGCCATCCAACCATCTCATCCTCTGTCGTCCCCTTCTCTTCCCGCCTTCAATCTTTCCCAGCATCAGGGTCTTTTCAAATAAGTCAGTTCTTCACATCAGGTGGCCAAAGTATTGGAGCTTCAGCTTCAGCATCAGTCCTTCCAATGAATATTCAGGACTGATCTCCTTTATGATGGACTGGTTGGATCTCCTTTCAGTCCAAGGGACTCTCAAGAGTCTTCTCCAACACCACAGTCCAAAAGCATCGATTCTTCAACACTCAGCTTTCTTTATGGTCCAACTCTCATATCCATACATGACTACTGGAAAAAACATAGCTGTGACTATACGGACCTTTGTCGGCAAAGTAATGTTTCTGCTTTTTAATATGCTGTCTAGGTTTGTCATAGTGTTTCTTCTAAGGAGTAAGTGTCTTTTAATTTCATGGCTGCAGTCAATTAGTTTAAAACAAAAGAGCCAATACACAGTAAATGGTGTAAGGAGAACCGGACAGCTACATGCAAAAGAATGAAACTAGACAACTATCAATAATAACACCATACACAAAAATTAACTCAAAATGGGCTAAAGACTTGAATGCAAGACCTGAAATCACAGACTCCTAGAAGTCAATGTAGGTGTTAAGCTTCTCGACATAGGTCTTGATGATGATGTTTTTAAATCTGACCCCAAAAGCAACAAAAATAAAAATAAACAAGTAGAATTACATCAAACTAAAAAATTCTTGCACAGCAAAGGGAACCTACCAAAAATGCAAAGGCAACCTACCGAATGGGAGAAAATACTTGCAAATCATGTATCTGATAAAGGGGTTAATATCCAAAATATATTTAAAAATCCATACAACTCAATGTGGGGGGGGGGCGTGGGGAACACATTAAAAATGGGCAGCGGACATTTTCCACGGTGCACATTTACCCAGTGCTGCCCTGAAAGATGCCCTGGGTACCCCGTCCTCATCAGCACCTCCCTCCTAGGACCCAAGGCATTCGGCCGGACAGAAGGAGCTGGGAAGCCTGACCACCTGCAGCCTCATTCTCTAAAAGAAGTTCCACGACCCCCTCCGCACACCAGGCCGCGCCCGCCTCCGAGCTCCCAAGAACCAGAGGGCGTCCGCCCTGCTCCTGAGCTCCCCGGGTCCAGAGCGCCAGGACGCCGGGGGCGTGGAGTGCGCGGTCGGGGGCGCTGCGTCTCTCCCGTTAGCGCTCCGGGTTTCCGCTCGCACCAGCTCCCCAGCGGCAGCTCGGGGGTCTCGCCTTCGTGCTCTGAAGCCCCCGCGCGTCGTCGCCGCTTCGCGCCCCTCAGTCCGCGGCGGGCGCGGCTCCGCAAGCTTCTCCAGCCAGTGTCCGGTTCTGGGCCCGGCGGCCAGCAGGCGGCGCGCGACACTTATTGGCGCAGAAAAGGGTTTGTTTTTTTTTTTTAATTGTTGCTGTGGTTATAGTTATTTTGTTGGTTTTTTCTTTGTTTTTTTTTTTTTTGTCCCCGGATCATCTTTAAGCATCTTCCTGGTGGTCCAGTGGCTAAGATTCCGAGCTCCCAATGCAGGGGGCCTGGGTTCCATCCCTGGTCAGGAAACTGGATTCACAGGCCACAGCTTAAGACCTGGCACAACCAAATAAACAAATAAAAACAAATACTTTTTTAAAGTTCCTAATGGAGGACATCGCTAAAATCTCACTGGAAGGCATCCTATTAAGCCTGCTGATGGCTGATGCAGCCTGTAAATGACACAGTCTCCTGTGGAGGATATGTGTCTTCCTTGGTAAGAAGAAATGGGACCTGTTGATCCATTCCCTGTTATTAATATTTTTCCTTAAATAGAGGAACCACTGACCTGCTTCTCACTTCAGTTTCCAGCTTAGGGCTGATAGCTTCTGAAAACTACAGAGAATATATTAAACTACTTGGACAAGAGAGAGAGATTCTATATGCTAACTAGCTTGCCGATAATGAAGAACCCATTTTTCCCAGATGTGTTGCAACTTTCCAGGCTTCCTACAGGTGAATCCTATTCTGCGACAGTTAGTGGGACTCAAAGCATCCTGTAATGATACAAACTTCCACCTGCTTGTTGTTCAGTGAAGGTCTGTGCATGTGATGCCACTTGTTTGTTCCCAAGTGTTGATTTATTGCCCACAGAAGCAAGCGTATGGTCTCATGCATCGAGAGCAGAGACTAGAAATTCTACACTGAGAACCACTTTATTCCAGAAACCAAATTAACTGCCTTTTCCTTGGGAGATAAGCTGTTACTTGAGACTTCTCTTACACAGTTGGAGCTTAACAGGATTGCTTCTCCTCCTGCTTTCAGTGAAGAAGTTCACCTCAAGATCACCTTAGGGATGATGGTGTGGTGACAGTTACTGCATTGTTTTACCTGAATTGTCCTTATGTTTAATTAGTATTGAAGAAAAGTTGAGATTTATAACATTTAAAGCAGTAGATCCTGGTTACTCATAAATATATACAACCCATCCTTTTTGAAAGGAAATTTGTGTGATTTTATAAACTGTGTGTCAGATTTATATGAATAGGTTTTGGTAGTGCCCTCTTTCACCCTGCTTTGGTATGTTTGTGATAATGAATCACTTTTCCTCGGCATTCCTTCTATCCTGTCATCTAAGGTGAACCTCTGTTAGGCTTTCCACATTGTCACAACTGGTGAATTCTGAGTAAATTATGATTCTCTGCTTGTCAAATTAAACCTAATAGTTTCCTGGTGGTAATTGCACAACTGCTGGTAGTACTGAATCATCACTGGGGTCCTGGGGACATAGATGCTCCTGAAGTCCAGGGACAATAGTGACTGCTCTTCAAGCTCTCCCTGTCCAAGAAAATTTTGAACTTTCCACAGGCAAAGAAATCTTTTTCCCAAAGTAAGTGAGACACCATTTGATTCTCTTTTGCAGGGTTCAAACTTGCACTACATTATGCTGAAAAATCTGGAATAATAACTGAGACCAATGGACTGGATTTAGGAATGTTAAGGTCACTTTTATCTTCAATAAGAAGGAGACTTGGACAAGAGCTCTGGTGTCATTACAAAAGATCCATGACAAGTTTGTCATTTCCAGAGGAAACTAACAATGAAGATGAGGGGAAACTTTTGAAGGAAATAGAATTACAACATTGCAACTGCCTCAGTTTATATAAGATGCTGTCATTCACTAAAATGGGCCTCTCCTGGATTCACATTTCCATTGAGATGAAGTGAAAAAATTGTTTTAATCTAAGGACCCTGTTCTCTTCAGAAATTGAATGTAAATTGTTGTGAAGTAATAGCTGATCTTGTGGGGTTTGGAATCGCATTTAACTTGGTTGAGTGTGGAGAGTGTCACTCACCAGATTTTCATCCTGGCAAAAGTCGTTCTTCTCCACCATTTTATTCTGTCCATCTTTGGGTAATTCAATCACTGAGATGATGTGAGAATTCAATAAAAAGATGATACAGAAAGCCAGCTCAAAAATTGCTCAATAAATTTCAGTCATTTAAAAAATACATTTATTTATTTGGCTGCATGGGGTCTCAGTTGTGGCAAGCAGGATCTTTAGTTATGGCATGTGACTTCTTAGTTGTGGCATGTGAGATCTAGTTCCCTCAAGAGGGATCAAACCTGAACCCCCTGCATTGGGAGCATGGAGTCTTAGCCACTGGGCCACAGGAAAGTACCAGTTCTAGTCATTTTTATGGAGCATGGTGAGTTTCCTGTCACTAGATACATTAAAGCAAGTAAAGATGGACTGTTTATCAGAATTGTGGTAGAAAAAGAATTAATGCAGAACTTTAGATAGACAGCTTTCCTTTAAAGTCCATTCTAAATCACAGATACTGCATATATTAATATAAGATGTAATTATTAACCTAAAAGTAGAATGATATATGTAAGTCATACGATTGCCTCAAAGGAGGTAATTCATAGTTTTTTTCATAGGGTTCTGTTTACTGAACACTCTACAATGTGTTCTGAGCAACATCTGTTGTATCTGCTTCCGGTAAAGCAAGAGAAGGGGGCATGTCCCCAAGTCAAAAGAGGAGAGTCAAAAAGGAGAACCAGGAGGAGGGGATTAATCACTTTTTCACATAAAATACTAATTATTCTAAAGCAGAGTTGCTGATTTGAGACCTATCTCTGAGCCCCTGCAGGATGGGATTAGGACCTGGACCCTGTTACACTGTTAGGAACACACACTGCAAAGGTAGCTTCAAGACCCTTCGTTGCACACAGATCACTCGCTATAAGCAGCTTTCTCTTATGTGTATTCTGGAGGTGCCACTAAAGGCAGAGGCAGCGCTGGGAGATGATCCTGAAAAACTTAGGTGACCAGCAGAGCTGGCTCACGATAGGGCCCCAATTAAAATGCTACAACTACAAACGGATCAAATTTTTAAAGCACGAAATTAAAACAATCCTCCTAAGGATTCAAAAGAGGAACTCCATACTGAATATCTGACCAGCAACTGATGATGCTGACGCGGATGAATCTGATTGGCTCGCCCAAACTGAGCCGACCCAGTCCAGAAACAGAGCAATGAGTTCCTAGGTTGGTAATATTTGAGATGTGGGTGGAGGGGGATCCTAGTCCTCACTGAGATTTTTCTGCTCCCGTGCACTTTGCCTTCTTCTCTTCTCCTGCATGGTGTGCCTTTGGTTCCCCCAGGCTCCTGGTCAGTAATTCTGACAGTGATACTGATGGTGCTGAGCCCGCTCCTGGCCTGGGCTGGAAGTAACCGAAGTAAGTGCACACCTTGGGTGGTGAGCTGCTGTGGAGGGAGGCGGAGGGAGGGAGTTAGCTTTACCTCTGTGTCCAGGCCACATCCCTCAAAAATCAGCATCTTCTCCAGTGACTGCTTATCTTTATCATGAGCGCTTGCATGCAGGCTCAGTCACTTCCGTCATGTCTGTCTCTTTGCAACCCCATGGACTGTAGCCTGCCAGGCTCCTCTATCCGTGGAATTCTCCAAGCAAGAGTACTGGAGTGGGTTGCCATGCCCTGCTCCAGGGGATCTTCCCAACCCAGGGATCAAACTCACGTCTCCTACATCTCCTGCATCGCAGGCAGACTCTTTACCCACTGAGCCACGTGGGAAGCCTTATCTTTATCATATGAATCCTCGATTCCTTCCACAAACAAAAGGAGCCTGGATACTTGCCCTCTTTAGGAGATCTGCCCAAGGAGCCTTCATATATACGCATATAGTCTATTTCTTCTCAACTCTCTTCTAATAAAACCTCTTCAGTCTCACATCCTATTCCCTCAGGGTTTTGAGAGGATTTAGAAATAATTTCAAAAATAATTCAAAATGATTAATAATGATTATAAATAATTTCAAAATAATTCCCATTTGTTATTCCATTTATTCTATTGAGTTATACCAGAAAATGGGAACAATCTTCTGAAAACTTTAAGGGGATTCAAAAGGAATTAGAAAGACCTCTCCTGTAAGACCCTTCTTGTGTCCTGCATGGGATCTGTGAGCTGCTTCCACTCCCCAGTATGTGAGGATGGACCAAGTGGCCTCCCCGCTGTCTCCTCTTTTTTTCAATTGAAGTATCTTTGATTTACAATATTGTGTCAGCAACTCAGCTATACATACATATATATGATACGTATATACTGGGCTCCCCGGCGGCTCAGACAATAAAGAATCTGCCTGCATTGCAGGAGATCTTGCTTCGATCCCTAGGTCGGAAAGATCCCCTGGAGAAGGGAATAGCAACCCACTCCAGTATTCCTGCTTAGAGAATTCCATGGACAGAGAAGCCTGGCAGGCTTCAGTCCATGGGGTTTCAAAGAGTTGGACACAACTGAGCAACTAACACTTCCACTTTTTCAGAGTTGATTTACAATATTGAGTTGGTTTCAGGTATACATCACAGCAATTCAGTTACATATATATGTGTGTGTGTGTGTGTATATAATATACATACATAGTATATATATATATTCTTTTTCAGATTCTTTTCCCCTTTAGGTCATTACAAAATATTAAGCAGCATCCTCTGTGCTATACAGTAGGTCCTTGTTGGTTATCTATTGTCTCCCTTTCTTTCTCCCTAAACCCCGTGGTTTATAAGGCCCGTGTCCCTGGACTGGAGGTTCTCTGGCACAAGTTGGGGTTAGTTTTCCCTCGTTTCTCCTGCGGTGTAAAGCACTCTGGAACTAGAGTGGGGATCCTCAGTACTCGGAATGACCCTGTAGTTAAGGAGCATCTAAGGGGCATTCTGTGACGCCGTAAAGAACTCAGGAAGAACTGAAAACCTGGCACAGGTCAGTGCTTATTGTGACTATTTTGAACCTATCCTCTCAGTTTCTGTTACATCTCCTCTTGATCTGGCCTGAACCCACAAGAAGAGATTCAACTAGTATAGAATGCATGTGTGCATGTTCAGTCACTCAGCCATGTCTGACTCTACAATCCTATGGACCGTAGCCCACCAGGCTCCAATGTCCAAGGGATTCTCCAGGCAAGAATACTGGAGTGGATTGCCATGCCCTCCTGCAGGGGATCTTCCCAATCTAGGGGTCAAACCTGCATCTCTTATGTGTCCTGCATTGGCAGGTGGGTTCTTTACCACTAGTGCCACCTGGGAATCTCAGGATAGAATAGACCGTATTAAATTAGGTGGCTCAGAGGTTAAAGCGTCTGCCTGCAATGCAGGAGACCCGGGTTCAATCCCTGGGTCGGGAAGATGCCCTGGAGAAGGAAATGGCAACCCACTCCAGTATTCTTGCCTGGAGAATCCCATGGTTGGAGGAGCCTGGTAGGCTACAGTTCATGGGGTCACAAAGAGTCGGACACGACTGAGCAACTTCACTTTCTTTCACTTTCACTTTCTTTATAAACCCCAAATAGTCAAATACCAGCCATTTCATATGGTTCAAACCATATACCCTGAGCAGGATACTGAGAGTGTCAAGGCTGTTTCCATCCCACGGGGCTGACAGCCAATAAGGAAGTCAAGGGAACTCATTACCTCATGGAGTCTTGAGCCCAATTTTCATATGTTCATTCATCATGCCAACAGTTTTCCATAATCAGCCATCTTTGATTACCTCTCCCTCCATTTTTCTGTATTCTTTCCCCAATCATGTCACCACCATTACTGAAAATTCCCAAAGTTTGCACAAACCTTCAGCACTATAACAGACCCACTGGATGAGATGAAACTTCATGAAGTGTTCCCTGTCTCTTAAAATCACCTGTGAATGTTTCTTTACAGTAAAAAGAAGAGAAAGAGGAAGTTAGTCTGAATTTCTCAGAGGATATAGAAGAGACATAAGATATAGAGACTTCCCCAGTGGCCCAGTGGTTAAGACTCCACCTTCCACTGCAGGGGGCACAGGTTCGACTCTGGCTGGGGAAACTAAGGTGTCATGGTTACAAAACTGTGTTGGCGTTGGAGCCCCTTCCTGCTTTCCAGAAGCCCCACAAAGATTAATTCCCAAAACCATAAATGACAAGTACTTTTTTGAGCAACTATTATGTACTAGACTCAGTGAATTCTATTGGAATAATATAGAAAAGTCCGTTAAGATCATGGAAGTTACCTAATGATGAGAAAGAAAGACAACAACCCAATAAACATGGAACGAAGAAAAACATTTGAAACAGTAGGATGTTTGCTATGTTTAAGGGGCAGAAAGGTTTGAGCAGCTGAAACAGATAAAGCAGGTGGGGGAATGGAATAAGATGACGTTGGAGAGAAAGTCAGGAGCCAAATCATGTTAGGCCCCAATGGCCATGATGAGAAATTTGACTTTTATTTACAGAGATACTGTAGGGAAGCTACTAAGGGAAGTTACAAACTGAGTCCATTTGTATATTTTTTAATATTTATTTACTTATTTGGCTGCTCTGGATCTTAATTGTGGCATGCGGGATCTTCGATCTTTGTAGCGGCATGCAGATCTGTAGTTGCAGCATGCACGATCTTTTTTTTAGTGGCAGCATGTGGGATTTTAGTTGCAGCACATGGGTAATCAAGGAGTGAATGCTGGCCCTGTGCATGGGAAGCTCAGAGTCTTAGCCACTGAACCACTGCCCTATATATATATATATAGATATTTTTAATAATTCTAGCTACCACATGGAGATTAGATTGCAGGGGTTCATGCATCCCAATGTTGCATCCCAAAGGACATGCATCCCAGTGTTCATTCACTGCAGCATTATTTACAATACCCAAAATGTGGAAGCAACTTAAGTGTCCATTGACAGATGAATGGATAAAAATGTGGTACATATACAATGGAATATTACTGTCATAAAAAAGAATGAAATTCTGCCATTTGCAACAATATGGATGGACCTAGAGAGTATTAAGATTAGTGGAAGAAGTCAGATAGAAAAAGTCAAATGCTCTGTTATCACTTATAAGTGGAATCCAAAACATAAAACAAACAAATGTATATGACAAAACAGAAACAGACTCACAAAGTGTGAACTAGTGGCTACCAGTGGGAAACCGGAAGGCAGGAAGAGCCAGAAAAGGGTATGGTATTAAGAGATACAAAGTATTATGTATAAAATAAATAAGCAACAAAGACATATAGTACAGCACAGGGAAATATAGCCATTATCTTGTAATAACTTTAAATGGAGTATAATCTATAACAGTATTGAATCACTGTGTTGTACACCTGGAACTAATATAATATTGTAAATCAATGATACTGCAATTTAAGAAAAGACCAAAAAAATTTAAAATATATATACTCATATGGTATGTATGTGTATATTTGTATCTCTGTATCTTTATACGCAGTGAAGCTACAGAGCCATGTGTAACCAATAAGAGCTCTGAGACCCAGCTGACCCTTTCCCTCAGCAGGTCAGAATTGCCAAATGAATTGTGGCACCAAATTTTTGGAAAATCTGGCTTTTTGAGCTGTCCAGACTTGGAAAAGGAATGGGGGACCTGTCCTCGGGTTACAGTTTTAATTTCCTACAACTCATCAATAGTTTTCATTACATTTAGCATAAAGTCAAAATCCTAATATTACCTACAAGTGCCTGGTTCCATGTAATTTGTGCAGTCTCATCTTTTAGCCTCCTTTCTCTCACTTTTTTGTGCTTCAGTGAACTGTCTTCTTGGGGAAGTTCATCAGTTCTTTCAGCTTTTCCACACTTCTCCCTCTTTTCCACTTTTCCACTTAAAATGTGTCTCTCTTTTTCCTCTAAACACACAGTCTTCCTCGAGCTCTCAGCCACTTCCCCTTACACCTCACACCTTACGTGTTTTCAGAGACCTGCCTCCAACGCCCTAACCTAACTTAGGTTCTCCTAGCATTCGTAGAGCCCCACACTGTTATCCTGACATTCCTCGTTCCCCTACAAATGGCTGTGCATTTGGTTTCTGTCCATCCCTCTCACTAAATCTCAAGCTGCCGGTGCCCGTTCTCCCCTTCCTGGAATCTCAGGGGCAGCGAGGGTTTGCCGGCGGACGTCCTGACCAAGCACTCACAGGAGGCGGGGGCGGCCGCGGGGAGGCAGAGATCGTGGGGGGCTCAGCGGTGGTGTCTCTGCGGTGGACGGTCCCAGGAAGAGGCAATGGTGGGACCCCGGCCAGGCCGCACGTGGCGACGCCAGGAGAGCCGGGTGGCCAAGAGGAGCCCGATCGGCTCAGGGGCAGAGCTCGTGTTCCCTGCGCGGCTGGCGGGGGACGCGGACCCGGGCTCCGCGGGCCGGGGAGCCGCTGGGGGCCGTCGCCACGTGCGGCCCGGGCGCCCGTGAGCAGGGCGCTCCCGCCCCGCAGCACTCTTCATGGTGCAGGGCAAGTCCGAGTGTCACTTCGCCAACGGCACGCGGCACGTGCGCTTCCTGGACAGGTACATCTACAACCGCGAGGAGCAGGTGCGCTTCGACAGCCTCGTGGGCGAGTACCGCGCGCGGACCGAGATGGGGCGGCCGGCGGCCGAGCGCTGGAACCGCTGGCCCCACGCCCTGCAGCGGGCCCGCGCCGCCGTGCGCACCTTCTGCGCCAGCAACTACCGGTTCTTTGCGAGCCTCACGGTGCAGAGGAGAGGTGAGCCGGGGGCGGGGCAGAGGGCGGTGCAGGGGAGGGGAGTGCGGGAGAGACCGAGACAGAGAGAAACGGGGAGACGGAGACGGAGACAGAGATGCAGAGACAGAGACAGAGAGAGATGGGGAGACAGAAACGGAGACAGAGATGGAGAGACAGAGAGACACAGAGACAGAGAGAGATGGGGAGACAGAGACGGAGACAGAGATGGAGAGACACAGAGACAGAGACAGAGAGAGACAGAGATGGAGAGACAGAGAGACAGACACAGAGACACAGAGAGACACAGAGACAGAGAGAGACACAGAGATGGAGAGGCAGAGACACAGAGAGACAGAGATGGAGAGACACAGAGAGACAGAGACACAAAGAGAGAGACAGACACAGAGACACGGACAGAGAGACAGAGACACAGAGAGAGAGATACACAGAGAGACAGATACACAGAGAGAGAGACACAGACAGATGGAGAGACACAGAGAGAGAGACAGACACAGAGACACACACAGAGAGAGACACAGAGACAGAGAGAGACAGAGACAGAGAGATGGAGAGACAGAGAGATGGAGAGACAGAGAGAGAGACAGACACAGACAGAGACACAGAGACAGAGAGAGAGACGGAGAGAGAGAGACACAGGCAGAGACAGACAGCGAGACAGAGACAGGGACAGAGAGACAGAGAGAGACAGAGCTAGGCTGAGTCCAGTGGGTGAGTAGGATGGTGGGGGACAGTGCTGGCTACGGGGTCCCCGTGTGAGAGCCTGCTGTCAGAAAGCTGGTGTGCGATTTTGTCAGTGTGCGGTGGGGGAGAGAGGGTGTGTGGTGGGGAGACATGCGGGGGACAGGGGTCCGGGCCTCCTCCCACCCAGGGAGGGCTGGGGGAGGGGGGAGGAAAAGGCTGGCTGAAGTGGGGGCAGATTCGGGAAGGGGCCTCAAGGTGTCCGTGGTTTGGGGGGGAGCTGAGGAATGTAAAAGGACTGGGAGACTGTGAGAAGAGCCCCAGTCTGCTCTGGGCACACCCCCTCACTCTGAACCCTCTGGAGTAAGTGTGCTGGTGTCTGTATGCAGGAGCGTTGGGTTGAGAATAAATTAGTGGGGGCACTAATTTCTAGGGGTGCAGTGGACAGGAACCTCCTACACCCCTCTGACCTTTCTGAAGCTGCTTTTAATTCTAAATTTCCGACTACTTTTTTGCTTTCTTGGTATGTACAAGTTTACATATTTGAAATGGTTGTGAAGCCAACTTTTGGATATAATTTTGTTACTTAATATTAACATACTAATATTACCATGTTTATAATGCTAATAGTACTTAGGTAGTTACATATTAACCCTTTGTATGGTTGTAAACAATTTACCTGGCATTCCCCATTGTAAATTTTATTTTCCATATTGCCACTTAGTTGGAAATTTATATCTTATTGTTTTTAACTTATTTCTTTTATTTCTAAAGTTCTATTTTTGCTAGTTATACTTTTTTTGCCAGTTATAATGACTGCTCCAAACACTATCTATTAATCTGTTATTGCTGGGGTCCATGTGTTTTTCTCAGTAATTTTATGGCTTCTCTGTGCAGTAAGATTATTAACATTTTGAGTCAACATTTTCTCCAGTTTGTGGTTTCTATTAGAGTCTGTTTAATATTTTCCATGTTAAGAGTTTAACAGTTTTTATTTACTGAAATAGAAACGGCAAAATTGTGACTAATGGTTTACCATTGATCTTAAATCTACTGTTTTGTGGTTCTGTACAAATGTGTCCCCCACTTCTCCTTTCTTTTAAAATAATTGTATTTACCTAGGGCCTAATAGTGTTAGAGGTTGTTTCAGATGTTGAGTCCCAGGCCATTCTCCGATCACAAATGTCAGTTTAGAAGGAGAGAGAATTCCAAAATGATAACAATTCCAAACATTGTAGTTGTTCAGTCACTCAGTCCTGTCTGAGTCTTTGCGACCCTATGGACTGCTGCACACCAGGCTTCTCTGTCCTTCACTGTCGCCCAGCGTTTGCTCAAACTCATGTCTATTGAGTCAATGATGCTGTCCAACCATCTCATCCTCTGTCACCCCCTTCTCCTCCTGCCTTCAGTCTCCCAGCATCAGCATCTTTTCCAACAAGCCAACTGTTCATATCAGGTGGCCAAAGTATTAGAGCTTCAGCTTCGGCATCAGTCCTTCCCATGAGAATTCAGGGTTAATTTCTTTTAGGATGGACTGGTTTGATCTCCTTGCTGTCCAAAGGACTCTCAAAAGCCTTTTTTAGCACCACAGTTTGGACTGTTCCTCCGCTCTTCCCCAGTAGCATAGTGGACACCTTCTGACCTGGGGGGGCTCATCTTTCAGTGTCATTCTTTCTGCCTTTTCATACTGTTCATGGGGTTCTCAAGGCAAGAATGCTGAAGTGGTTTGCCATTCCCTTCTCCAGTGGACCACGTTTTGTCAGGACTCCACCATGGCCCGTCTGTCTTGGGTGGCCTTGCACGGCATGGCTCACGGTTTCATTGACTTACACAAGCTGAGATCCATGTGATCATTTTGGTTAGTTTTCTGTGTTTATAGTTTTCATTCTGTCTGAGCTCTGATGCATGATGGTAAGAGGCTTGTGCAAGCTCCCTGATGGGAGAGACTGGCTGTGGGAAAAACTGGGTCTTACTCTGATGGATAGGGTCATGCTCAGTAAATCTTTAATCCAGTTTTCTGCTAATGGCTGGGGCTGTGCTCACTCCCAGAGGCAGCCCAGTCCTGGAGTCTGCAGTCTCTGTGCTAGGGCTATTGGCTCTAAGGATAGGGCTAATGGCGGCCTCCTCCAAGTGGACATAAGCCACACACCGCACCTCCCAGGACTGCTGCTGCCAGAGCCCCTGTCCCCGTGGGAGGCCACTGCTGAGCTGTGCCTCTGCAGGAGACCCTCAAACACTCACAGGCAGGGCTGGCTTAGTCTCTTGTGGGGCCACTGCTCCTTTCCCTGGGTCCTGGCATGGACAAGTTTTGTTTGTACCCTCCAAGAGTCTCCGATTGAGCCCCTCCTACCATCTCGTTGTGGCTTCTCCTTTGTCCTTGGATGTGGGGTATCTTTTCTTTGGTGGGTTCCAACAGCCTTCTGTCGATAGTTGTTCAGCTGCTAGTTGCACTTTTAGTGTTCTCCCAGGAAAAGATGAGCACGTGTCCTTCTACTCTGCCATTTATATAATGTCAGACAGCTGTAATCATGTCAGACTACTATAATAAAATACCATAAACTGTTTTTATGTTAAAAACAACATAAATTTATTTCTCACAGCTTTAGAGACTAAGTCCAAAATCAAGGCACTGGCAGATTCAGTGTCTGGTGAGATCTTTTTTTAAAAAAATAAAAAAAGGAGACAAAGGAGAGATTCATCAGCTGAGTATAAAGCTGTAACAACTTTTAAAATGATGAGCTCTCCTTGTTGCTTTTCCAATGCAGGACTCGTGTTTTCCTGAGGCATCCCTCGTGGAGAACGGCCTCTGTGGTCCGTCTCTGCTGCTCAGGGGAAGAGCAGTCCCATGCTCTTCTCAGGCGTGCGTCCATGGAGGCAGCTCTCCATCTCTACCAGCCCCACTCCTGTTCTCACATCTATCCTTAAGCTTTGAATCATATTTTCTTTCATAGTAAACAAAAAAATTCAACGAGTAGCTAACATATATTGAGTGCTAAGTTCCAGCCTTTTTTCGGCCACTCCACACAACCTGTGGGACTTTAGTTCCTCGATCAGGGGTTGAACCCGGCCCTTGGCAATGAAAGTGCAGAGTCCTAACCACTGGACAACCCAGCCATTTCTTAACATGGTTTAGGTCCATCAAGTCTTTTTTTTAAATATGATGGTCAAATATTTTTTATTGAAGTATAGTTGATTTACAGTGTTGTGTTAATCTCTGCTGTACAGTAAAGTGATTCAGTTACATACATTCTCCTTTTAATACTCTTTTCCATTATGCTTTATCATGGGATACTGAATACAGTTCTCTGTGCTATACAATAGACTGTGTTGTTTATCTGTTCTATATATAACTTTCATCTACCAACCCCAGACTCCCACTCCATCCCTCCCCCAAGCCTGTCCGCCTTGGCAACCACAGGTCTGTTCTCTGTTTCCGTGTGTCTGTTTCTGTTTCATAAATAAGTTCATTTTGTCATATTTTAGATTCCACATATAAGTGATAGCATGTGGTATTTGTCCTTCTCTTTCTGACTGGCTTAACTTAGTATGATGATCTCTAGGGGCACCATGTGTTGTAAATGGCGTTATTTCCTTCTTTTTTAGGGCTGAGTAGTAGTCCATCTTATATATGACTCATTTAACTCAAAGAGGTAAATTCGTATCATTATCCTCCTTTGGAGACAAGAACGTTGAGGCACAAAGTAATTTTTTTTTCTTTTTTTTTTCTTTTTTTTCATTTGTTCTCACTAATTGGAGGCCAATCACTCCACAACATTGCAGTGGTTTCTGTCACACACCAACACGAATCAGCCATGGATTTACATGTATTCCCCATCCCGATTCCCCCTCCCACCTCCCTCTCTACCCAATCCCTCTGGGTCTCCCCAGTGCACTGGGCTCAAGTACTTGTCTCATGCACCCAACGTGGGCTGGTGATCTGTTTCACCCTAGATAATATACATGTTTCAATGCTGTTCTTTCAAAACATCCCACCCTTGCCTTCTCCCACAGAGTCCAAAATTCTGTTCTGTACATCTGTGTCTCTTTTTCTGTTTTGCATATAGGGTTATCATTACCATCTTTCTGAATTCCATATATATGTGTTAGTATACTGTAATGGTCTTTATCTTTCTGGCTTACTTCACTCTGTATAATGGGCTCCAGTTTCATCCATCTCATTAGAACTGATTCAAATGAATTCTTTTTAATGGCTGAGTAATATTCAATGGGGTATATCTACCATAGCTTCCTTATCCATTCATCTGCTGATGGGCATCTAGGTTGCTTCCATGTCCTGGCTATTATAAATAGTGCTGCGATGAACATTGGGTGCATGTGTCTCTTTCAGATCTGGTTTCCTCGGTGAGTCTGCCCAGGAGTGGGATTGCTGGGTCATATGGCAGTTCTATTTCCAGTTTTTTGAGCAATCTCCACACTGTTCTACATAGTGGCTGTACTAGTTTGCATTCCCACCAACAGTGTAAGAGGGTTCCCTTTTCTCCACACCCTCTCCAGCATTTATTGTTTGTAGACTTTTGGATAGCAGCCATCCTGACTGGCGCGTAATGGTACCTCATTGTGGTTTTGATTTGCATTTCTCTGATAATGAGTGATGTTGAGCATCTTTTCATGTGTTTGTTAGCCATCTGTATGTCTTCTTTGGAGAAATGTCTGTTTAGTTCTTTGGCCCATTGTTTGATTGGGTCATTTATTTTTCTGGAATTGAGCTGCAGGAGTTGCTTGTATATTTTTGACATTAATTCTTTGTCTGTTGCTTCGTTTGCTATTATTTTCTCCCAATCTGAGGGCTGTCTTTTCACCTTGCTTATAGTTTCCTTTGTTGTGCTTTTAAGTTTCATTAGGTCCCATTTGTTTATTTTTGCTTTTATTTCCAGTATTCTGGGAGGTGGGTCATAGAGGATCCTGCTGTGATTTATGTCAGAGAGTGTTTTGCCTATGTTCTCCTCTAGGAGTTTCATAGTTTCTGGTCTTACATTTAGATCTTTAATCCATTTTGAGTTTATTTTTGTGTATAGTGTTAGAAAGTGTTCTAGTTTCATTCTTTTACAAGTGGTTGATCAGTTTTCCCAGCACCACTTGTTAAAGAGGTTGTCTTTTTTCCATTGTATATCCTTGCCTCCTTTGTCGAAGATAAGGTGCCCATAGGTTCGTGGATTTATCTCTGGGCTTTCTATTCTGTTCCATTGATCTATATTTCTGTCTTTGTGCCAGTACCATACTCTCTTGATGACTGTAGCTTTGTAGTAGAGTCTGAAGTCAGGCAGGTTGATTCCTCCAGTTCCATTCTTCTTTCTCAAGATTGCTTTGGCTATTCGAGGTTTTTTGTATTTCCATACAAATTGTGAAATTATTTGTTCTAGTTCTGTGAAAAATACCGTTGGTAGCTTGATAGGGATTGCATTGAATCTATACATTTCTTTGGGTAGTATAGCCATTTTGACAATATTGATTCTTCCAATCCATGAACATGGTATATTTCTCCATCTATTTGTGTCCTCTTTGATTTCTTTCATCAGTGTTTTATAGTTTTCTATATATAGGTCTTTTGTTTCTTTAGGTAGATATACTCCTAAGTATTTTATTCTTTTTGTTGCAATGGTGAATGGTATTGTTTCCTTAATTTCTCTTTCTGTTTTCTCATTGTTAGTATATAGGAATGCAAGGGATTTCTGTGTGTTAATTTTATATCCTGCAACTTTACTATATTCGTTGATTAGCTCTAGTAATTTTCTGGTAGAGTCTTTAGGGTTTTCTATGTAGAGGATTATATCATCTGCAAACAGCGAGAGTTTCACTTCTTCTTTTCCTATCTGGATTCCTTTTACTTCTTTTTCTGCTCTGATTGCTATGGCCAAAACTTCCAAAACTATGTTGAATAGTAGTGGTAAGAGTGGGCACCCTTATCTTGTTCCTGATTTTAGGGGAAATGCTTTCAGTTTTTCACCATTGAGGGTAATACTTGCTGTAGGTTTGTCATATATAGCTTTTATTATGTTGAAGTATGTTCCTTCTATTCCTGCTTTCTGGAGAGTTTTAATCATAAATGGGTGTTGAATTTTGAATTTTGTCAAAGGCTTTCTCTGCATCTATTGAGATAATCATATAGTTTTTATCTTTCAATTTGTTAATGTGGTGTATTACATTGATTGATTTGCGGATATTAAAGAATCCTTGCATTCCTGGGATAAAGCCCACTTGGTCATGGTGTATGATTTTTTTAATATGTTGTTGGATTCTGTTTGCTAGGATTTTGTTAAGGATTTTTGCATCTATGTTCATCAGTGATATTGGCCTGTAGTTTTCTTTTTTTGTGGCATCTTTGTCTGGTTTTGGAATTAGGGTGGTAGTGGCCTCATAGAATGAGTTTGGAAGTTTACCTTCTTCTGCAATTTTCTGGAAGAGTTTGAGTAAGATAGGTGTTAGCTCTTCTCTAAATTTTTGGTAGAATTCAGCTGTGAAGCCGTCTGGTCCTGGGCTTTTGTTTGCTGGAAGATTTCTGATTACAGTTTCGATTTCCTTGCTTGTGATGGGTCTGTTAAGATCTTCTATTTCTTTCTGGTTCAGTTTTGGAAAGTTATACTTTTCTAAGAATTTGTCCATTTCTTCCAAGTTGTCCATTTTATTGGCATAGAGCTGCTGGTAGTAGTCTCTTATGATCCTTTGTATTTCAGTGTTGTCTGTTGTGATTTCTCCATTTTCATTTCTAATTTTGTTAATTTGGTTCAACTCCCTTTGTTTCTTAATGAGTCTTGCTAATGGTTTGTCAATTTTGTTTATTTTGTCAAAAAACCAGCTTTTAGCTTTGTTGATTTTTGCTATGGTCTCTTTAGTTTCTTTTGCATTTATTTCTGCCCAATTTTTAAGATTTCTTTCCTTCTACTAACCCTGGGGTTCTTCATTTCTTCCTTCTCTAGTTGCTTTCAAAGTAATTTTAAAATGCTTCCAGAATTAATCAGTTAGAAGCAGAGCCTGAATTTGAACCCAGAGAGCCTAGTTACAGAAATCACACTTTTAATGAATTTACCCTGTGTCCTGCAATAAGTGTAAATACTGCAGTTCAACAATAAGTAACTCTTTCAAGTTATGAAAAGAAACCCCACAGTTTTCCTCAGCATCTCTCAACTCTAATAGGTGTTGGAGGTTTCGGGGTTAAATTCAAGCGAGATTTGCGGTGCTGCATCCTCTTAAGCCACATGGGCAGCCTGGCCTGTCAAAGGCTGCAGCCTGGTTAGGAGACTTAGTCTGTCTCCCGCACTAACCCCCGCTACGTTTCCTCTCCCAGTGGAGCCCGAGGTGACTGTGTATCCTGCGAAGACCCAGCCCCTGCAGCAGCACAGCCTCCTAGTCTGCTCTGTGAATGGCTTCTACCCAGGCCACGTTGAGGTCAGGTGGTTCCGGAACGGCCGGGAAGAGGAGGCCGGGGTGGTCTCCACAGGCCTGATCCGATGCTTGAAGTAGTTCCTCAGGGTGGAGAGGTCTACGCCTGCCATGTGGAGCACCCCAGCCTGACGAACCCCATCACAGTGGAATGGAGTGAGGAGCTCTCTGATCTCATAAGTTTCTCAGCCACCAAGCGGGGGGCCCGCTTACCCCCGCGTGTCAGGTCTCGCCTCTCCCCACACAAATGTTCGTGAGCTCCATGTTCTCTTCTCCTTCAGCTGAGGTTGTTGGGGTTGCACTGTGACGTCCTGTGATGGAGCTCCTCCGATAGTTTGCAGATATCCCACGATGGTTTCTGTAAATGCCTGGGCCCCCTGGAGAGCCAGTTCTGACAAGCAGGGAAGATGATGTCTCTGCTTAAGCCTCCTGTGACCTTACAGGTCATGGTCCCTCTTCGGTCCTGGGCACCAGTCCCCTGTGTCAAGCTGGGCTGGTGCTTCAGACACTCTCTCCCTGAGTTGTTCACTGTGATCTGAGAAGGGGCACACCCCCTCCAGGGACCTTCCTGACCTGAGGGAAGTTCAGTCCCAGCTCTGCCTTTTATTAGCTCTGTCAGCCGAGACAGACTTCCCCACGTCATCCAGCCCCAGGCTGCTCATCCATCAGATGACGAAGATGTGTGGCCTTCTATCAGGGCTAGGGTATTTAAATGATTCACTGCCTGAACCTTGTAGCAATTCAGCTTGAATTTTCATCTCTTTTCTAGGAATGGCCAATTATTTCAGTTTTTTCAGAGCAGGCTTCTTCCCCCCAGTCTCAATTAGAGAAGTTGGATTTGGGATAACAATCACTCAGAAAGTGGCTTCTTTTCTCAGGGGCACAGGACAAATCTTCACAAGAAAAGATGCTGAGTGGAATCGGGGCCTGTGTTCTAGGTCTGCTCTTCCTTGGGATGGGGCTGCTCTTCTACATCAGGAGGTAAGGGACCTGTTGGCAGCTGAGACGCCCCACAGATTGTTTGGAGGAAGAAATATGGCTTTGCTCGATGAAGTTCTCTGAATACAACCTTTGCCTAGTTGATCTCAACTTTCCTGGAAATCCAGAAAGTACTTATGGGTGAAATATAAGAGGTGATGGCCTTTAGAGATAAGAGAAGGATTAGCATGCATGGAGATCTCAGATGGAAATTCTGGACCAAATGCAAGAAGAGACCGTAAGGCTGATGAAATGATGCTGGGTTTGTGTGATGGGAGCTTCCTAGTCATATGCCTTCCAGGGTCTGCTCCCCTCTCCACCCTGGTATTCAGTGATGTGAGCTGTGTTGTCCAGAAATCTCAGTGGGTGGTCAGGGGCTGAGACACTGTATCCCGGGAGTATGTATCCTGCCTCTCCTTCCTTAGGAGACTTGGGCTTCAGCCAAGGTAATGCCCTCTCATCCTCTTTCAGAGAGAGATTTGGTCTCCTAGGAACAGTGATGGAGATGACAAGTGGGGAGACAGACAAAATGAGAAAGACTGAATTCTGATTGCAGTAAAACTTTGCATCAGTTAATAAGAGAACAGACTTGTGTTTGCCAAGGGGGAGGGGGTGGAGAAGAGAGAGATTGGGAGTTTGGGATTAGCAGATGCAAAGTATTATATACAGAATGGATAAACACCAAGATCCTACTGTACAGCACAGGAAACTCTATATCCTAAGATAAGCCATAATGGAAAAGAACATTTAAAAAATGTATGTATTTCCATACAAATTGTGAAATTATTTGTTCTAGTTCTGTGAAAAATACTGTTGGTAGCTTGATAGGGATTGCACTTAATCTATAGATTGCTTTGGGTAGTATAGCCATTTTGACAATATTGATTCTTCCAATCCATGAACACAGTATATTTCTCCATCTGTTTGTGTCCTCTTTGATTTCTTTCATCTGTGTTTTATAGTTTTCTATGTATAGGTCTTTAATTTCTTTAGGTAGATATACTCCTAAGTTCCCACTTCTGGGCATACACACCGAGGAAACCAGATCTGAAAGAGACACATGCACCCCAATGTTCATCGCAGCACTATTTATAATAGCCAGGACATGGAAGCAACCTAGATGCCCATCAGCAGACAAATGGATAAGGAAGCTGTGGTACATATACACCATGGAATATTACTCAGCCATTAAAAGAATTCATTTGAATCAGTTCTAATGAGATGGATGAAACTGGAGCCCATTATACAGAGTGAAGTAAGCCAGAAAGATAAACACCAATACAGTATACTAATGCATATATATGGAATTCAGAAAGATGGTAATGATAACCCTATATGCAAAACAGAAAAAGAGGCACAGATGTACAGAACAGAATTTTGGACTCTGGGAGAAGGCGAGGGTGGGATGTTTCGAGAGAACAGCATCAAAACATGTATATTATCTCAGTGAAATAGATCACCAGCCCAGGCTGGATGCATGAGACAAGTGCTCGGGCCTGGTGCACTAGGAAGACCCAGAGGAATCGGGTGGAGAGGGAGGTGGGAGGGGGGATCGGGATGGGGAATACATGTAAATCCATGGCTGATTCATGTCAATGTATGACAAAAACCACTGCAATATTGTAAAGTAATTAGCCTCCAACTAATAAAAATAAATGAAAAAAAAAAATGTATGTATGTGGGGTCTTCCCTGCTGCTCCAGTGGTTAAGAATCCACCTCCCGATGCAGGGGACACAGGTTCAATCCGGGGTTGGGGAACTAAGATCCCACATGCCACAGGGCTAATAAGCCTGCATGCCACAGCTACTGTGTCCATGCACCTTCAAGCCTGTGCTCTGCAACAGGAGAAACCACTGCAGTGTGAAGCCCACCAGCCACAACTAGAGAAAGCCCGTGCCCCACAATGAAGATCCAGTGCAACCGTAAATAAATGAAAAGTAAAATTTAACTGTATATATGTGTATACCTGGGTCACTTTGCTGTACAACAGAAATGAAAACAGCACTGTAAATCAACTGTACTTCAATAAAATTAACAAATAAAGACTGCCAGGCCAGCAGCCACTAAAGGGGCATCTCTTCAATTAAAAATTCTAAAAATAGGGTTATCTATTTTTAGGTTATCTAATTCTAAATAGATATATATAAATAGGTTATCTAATTCTAAAAATAGATAACCCTATGTGCAAAACAGAAAAAGAGACTCCTATGTATAGAACAGACTTGTGGACTCTGGGAGAAGGCGAGGGTGGGATGTTTCAAGAGAACAGCATTGAAACACGTATATTATCTAGGGTGAAACAGTTCACCAGCCCAGGTTGGGTTCATGAGACAAGTGCTCGGGCCTGGTGCACTGGGAAGACCCAGAGGGATTGGGTGGAGAGGGAGGTGGGAGGGGGGACCGGGATGGGGAATACATGTAAAAAAAAAAAAAAAAAAAAGATACACTATGGTTGTGATAAAAAATAAATAAATAAATAAATAAATAAATTTAAAAAAAAAAATTCTAAAAATAATAAAATAAGAGGCCCATGGCCCGAGGTAGCTGTGGCTCAGGGAGGCTTAAGACTGATTCTGCCTTCTTACTGCAGAGCTCTCAGGGGAGGCCCCAGAAAGGGGGAAGAAGCAGCTTGAAGAGGTCGGTGTGGAAACAGCCCTCTCCTCTGCTCCTGCAGGTCTCCTGAGCTGGAGCAGAGACCGTGACACTCGGGCGAGAACCTTCTGTCCCAGCTTCTTCGCAGCTTGCAAAGGTTTCCTACTTCAGACCGTGGGCCCCTTATTTTATTCCTTCTAGAGTTTTTAATTGAAGAGATGCCCCTCTGGTGGCTGCTGGCCTGGCAGTCTTTATTTGTTAGTTTTATTGAGATATAGTTGATTTGCAGTGTTGTTTTGCCTTCTGCTATACAGCGCTCACTCCTCACAACGAGAGTGCTTTCCCAGGATCTTTGCTCTGGGTTGAATGACTCTTCAGAAAAAGTCCTGGGTGGTTTCTTCAGCCCTACCCGGCACCCAGAAGTCCCCAGGATTGATCCCAGTGCCTTATCTTCATTCTTTCCTGGTCCTCTTTGTTTTCTACCCCTGCTGCCTCCTTCCCTCCACATTTCTTTATATGTATTTTTTGAAATACAAGAGTGGAATCTTCGTACAGGTTAGACAAGGCATGGTGTGTGCTCATGACAGCCTAAGTCGGAAGTCAGTTTCAACTGCTCCCTGATCTCATTCCTCTAATTAAGTTCCTTTAAGGTTAGAGAGGAACAGAAGTGGGCCAACAGGGATGGAGCCAAAGAGCTACTTTCCAAAAGCAACAAATTTGAGTAAGGTGATACATAGAAGCAGGAAATTGCAACTCTGTAATCAGAACAGGGTTTTCACAGTTTTCTCATAGCATAAAGACTAAAGAGGGGAAAGGCAGAAAAATAACTGTAGCTACTTCAACTTGGGAACAAACACAACACAAAAGGGGCTCTTTGGAGACAACAAAAATTACAAAAAGGGAAGAGAAAAAGTACAGAAGCCAAATAGGTAAATGAAGATAAGATGCTATCAGCATGAAAAAAGACTATTTTATCTACCATATGTTTTATACGAACTTCATGGTAGCCACAAAACATAAATCTAGAGCAGAGATATGAAACATTAAAAAAGAGGGGACTGAAGAACACATTTTTTTTTTGAATTTTAAAAACATTATTTATTTGAAATTCTATAGAAATAAAAATTAAGATGTACTACAACTACCTATTCACTTAAAGATGTACATTTTAATGATATATTATTATATGAAAAGCTTAAAAGAATGTCAAAAATAAAGTTAAAAAATATGACCCAAAGTATAAGCTATATTCTAGCTAATTACAGAGCTAAAGCATAACCATTGTATTTTTTAGAAGTTGACATTCTTTCATCACACATGAAAATTATGGATTACAAATACATATCATATATATATACATGTACATACATACAGAAATCAACTGTGATCTTAGTTTCACTTAGCTTTATAGTTTTCAAAAATGTAAACAGATCATTAAATATTTTTGACAAATGACCTGTACTAATAGGAAGATTAGAAACTAAACAGAAAATTGAATCAAAAGTCTCTG